GCAAGAGCACAGGAGTAATTCCCTGTTAAACAGATACTTGAGTGCTCTCCTTTGTCTGCTCTGAGCAAACTCCACTCAGCTGCCAGGTCCTACATCCCAAAACTGCTGGGAGAGTCACTCCAGGAGTTTCCACACTCGAAGGGAGGTGGGAACATGGATGAGGTCCATGGTGGTCATGGAGCAGGCTGATTTGGGTTGGAGGGACCTCAAATCCCACCCAGTGCCACCCCTGCCATGGCAGGGACACCTCCCACTGTCCCAGGCTGCTCCAGCCCCAGTGTCCAGCCTGGCCCTGGGCACTGCCAGGGATCCAGGGGAATCTGGGAATTCCATCCCAGCCCTGCCCACCCTGCAGGGAACAATTCCCAATTCCCAATCTCCCACCCAGCCCTGCCTCAGGGTTGCTGCCTGCCCAGAGCAAGACTCATGCCCTGGCTCTGCACCTCCCAGGGAAGGAGTTTGCCAGGGAATGTAGGTCAAAAGGTGCAGGAGAACGAGCATGTGCTAAAATCCTGATTCTGTTTGCTGTTTGATAAATCCTTCTTTTTTTTTTTTTTTTTTGACAAAAAGGATTTATATGTGAATTTCCCGTGTGCTTATGGCCAAGTGTGGTGCATTACAGCTGGAGTCTGACAGTTCTCTCTGTAGTAAACAAGCTGTACAGTGTCAGCTTGAAGTATAACAGCACTCTGAGGGTTTCCTGACACTGGGAATGGCTGGATACTCTGGTAGCTCCACCAGGCTCTGATGTTTGGGAAGCAGAGCTGCAAACCCAGGATTATTACTGTGCCCTTTTAGCCCTGCTCTCTGTGCTGCTGCTGTGCAGCCTTGCAAGATGTCCCAGGCTTCCCCTTGCTGTTCCTTACCCCTCCAGGGGGAATGGAAATCTCTGGACACATCCCTCACAGCCTTTGTTAAAATTCCTGAAGTTGTCCTTGGCGTTTTTTAGTTGAAACCCAGAGTTCCAGGGGAGGAACCCTGAGCATGGAAGTTCAGCCGAGCCCTTGTTTACACGGGTGAAATATGTAAACAGTTCTTTTTCCCCAAATATAGGGCTTTTTTCCTTGGCTGCCCTCCCGGCGTTTATAAAAGCCAGTTATGTAAATGACAATTGTAATAATTAAGCTGCTGTTCAGTGCTGTCCCCAGGGCTGCTGCTGCTGCAGAGCTCGAGCTGCAAGGAGCACGGGGCATCATTGCAGATAATGGGACCTCGCAGGAGGAAATCAAGGGGAATTAAACAAACAAAATCCTCGTTAGAGAGCATCTCCCATGAGAAAGGAAAGGTCTGGAATGAAGTGGTGTCACAGGGGAGCTCTGGAGATCGTCCTCTCCAGCCCTGCCCAGGCAGAGCTGCTGGTCCAGGGCCATGTCCCGTTGAGTTTTGGGTGGCCCCGTGGCTGGGGGCTCCACAGCTTCTCTGGGTGCTTGTGCCAGCCAGGACCACCCTCTGTCACATCTTTGTCATCTCTTACAAAACCAACCCCAGCTGCCTTGTGCTAGGTGAAAATTGCTTTAAATTGTGCTAGGGAGGCTCAGGATGGATGCTGGGAAGAATTCCTTAATGGAAGGCGTTGTCCAGCCCTGGCACAGGTGGAGTCACATCCCTGGATGGATTTCACAGGTGTGGCACTTGGGGACATGGTCAGTGGTGGCCTTAGCAGTGCTGGGGAGAACTGCTGGACTCAGTGGTGGCCAAGGGCTTTTCCAGGCTTGGTGACTCAGTGACATTCCAGCTCTGCTCTAGCACGTAGGGCTCAGTGTCCTTTGATGATCTGGGTGGTGGCACCTTTGGGGTGGCAGCAGGACCCCCTGAGCAGAGGCTGCAGAGTGCCTTTGGTGGGGACAGCAGGCCTGAGGAGGGAGGGATGGGAGGGGCAGGAGGGATGGAGGGGGCAGGATGGATGGAGGGGGCAGGAGGGATGGGAGGGGCAGAAGGAGGGATGGAAAGGGCAGGAGGGATGGGAGGGGCAGAAGGAGGGATGGAGGGGGCAGAGGGAGGGATGGAAAGGGCAGCAGGAGGGATGGGAGGGCAGGAGGAGGGGTATGGGGGCAGAGGGAGGGATGGAAAGAGCAGGAGGGATGTGGGAGCAGCAGGAGGGATGGGAGGGCAGAAGGAGGGATGGGATGGGCAGCAGGAGGGATGTGGGAGCAGCAGGAGGGATGGAAAGGGCAGGAGGAGGGGTATGGGGGGGGCAGCAGGAGGGATGGAAGGGCAGAGGGAGGGAAGGATGGAAAGGGCAGGAGGAGGGGTATGGAGGCAGCAGGAGGGATGTGGGTGCAGCAGGAGGGATGTGGGGGCAGAGGGAGGGATGGAAAGGACAGCAGGAGGGGTATGAGGGCAGCAGGAGGGATGGGAAGCTGGCCCGTGTTGGGTGCCCGGTTAATGGCCCATCAAGGACACCCTTTGGGAGGGACCAGGACTCTGTTGTGCAGATGCAGCCTGTGAGTGATGGTGGGGAGATAAGGAGCAGGCTGGAGGCACCGAGGGATGGAGACAGAAGGTTCCCCATGGCTCAGAGGGGTGGGGTGGGGTGGTGGTGGTGCTCCTCAGGACTCCAGGAGTCACAGCCCTGGGTTGGACCAGGCAGCAGCTGTCTCTTGGGGAAGCTGCTGGAGCAAAACTCAGGGCTGGATGTTCTGGAGAGGGAGATTAACTTAAAGCCAATTTGGCATTCATTTTAAAGCTTTTGTTCGGTGAAGGTGTGTTGGGATAGCCTGCTTGAAGTGCCCAGGCCTGCCGGGACAGGACTTGGAGCAGCCTGGGACACTGGAAGGTGTGGATGAGATTTAAGGCCCTTCCCACACAAAGGACGATTCTGTGCTGTGATCTTCAGGTTTAATCTTCCATCAGTCTTAGGCAAAGTGGCTGGTGCTGGTCTTTGTTGTTTCATTTGGGTATTCCTGCAGCTGCAGCCCGTGGAGATAACAGAGAGGAAGGGAGATAGCAGGAGGGGGCAATGAATAACCCATCGTGGCTGCTGAAATGTTGGGACCATGCTGTTATCACTTCGGGGCTGTCTGCTGATTAAATCACTTGTGTCCCCTATTCTGGCTCTTTTGGTCTTGATGAAAGCACCAAATTCCTCCGGGGTTTGGTTTGATTGCTGTTGATGGTGCAGTTGATTATCAGCACCTGGCAGCTCTTTAAAGCCTTGTTTTATTGTTCTTTCTGCTGCCGCCAGTCAATCTTCATTCCTGGCATTTGTGTTGCAAATACCCAGGGCTTGTCCTTGGGGTGGCAGCAAATCTGGGCCCCTCAATCCTTGACTCTCCCAGTCCTTCATCCCCTCAGGTCTCTTTCCCTGGCTGAACCCCTCGGGCAGACCTGAGCCAGGGCTCAGGAGCTCCGTGGTCAGGAGGGGGTTAATCTGAATGAACCCACTTTTACAATAACACGACCTTCCCTTCCTACAATCCAAACTTTGCTACAGCGTTGCCGCGTTCTTCCCTGCAACAACAACAAGCACAGGCTCGGAACAAGATAACCATGTCATATTTTGGGAGATGTCGTTTAGCCTGGCTTCATTTTTCCTTCTGGAGTCGTGTCCAAGGGCAGCACAAACACAGAGATCATCTCGTGTCCCTGCTCGCTGCCTTGGAGACAACAGGAGCAGCCAGCACGGAAAGGCCCAGCCAAAGTTCTGAGCCACGAGAGAGCTCCTGCAGGGTGGGAGAGGAGCCCCAAATCTCTCCAAATCAGCCTCAGGGCATCCAGTGTTCTTCTGAGATCCGTGTGGTTTGGGTGTCCCTTCAGGAGAGCCCTGGGGAAGGTTCCCAGTTCACCCACTGGTTTGGTGGCCAGCTCCCCGTGCCACATGGACAGCCACGAGTTAGCACAGACTGAACTTGTGAGGTTTGGGAAGCAGCTGGACACCAGCCCTGCCTCTGCAGGAGGCTGCATCACTGCCCAGGCCATCTCGCCATGGGGAGCATTCCCTTGTCCCCAGTCCCTCTCCAGTTCTCCTGACACCCCTTTAGGCCCTGGAAGGGGCTCTCGGGTGTCTCTTCTGCAGGTGAACACCCCCAGCTCTCCCAGCCCTGCTGAACTCCATGGCTGTGCCGTGGTCCCAGCTCTCCAGCCTGCCCAGGCCCCTCAGGATTCCCATCCCTGGCTCTGGTGTCACCCCCTGGCAGTGCCATGGACGGGCTGGATCAGCCCCGTTTGGTGCTTGCATGGGCGCGGGCACGCAGCAAAATGCCAAGTGTTAGTCTTAGGAAGTAGAAAACGATGTGAAAAGCAGCCAGAAGGGCCTGTTCCATAATCAGGAAGAGGGAAGGGTTTTAATTGCCATGTTTTATAAACACACAGCTCTTCCTCCCCAAACGCCAACACCAACAGCCTCCAAGGGAGACGTGGGGCTGGGGCTGTGGGCAGGAGCCAGATCCTGCTGGGAGGGCTGGGCTGAGAGGGGCACCCTGCCCTGCCCTGCTGGAGAACTGGGCTGAGAGGGGCACCCTGCCTTGCCCACCGTGCCTTTTACAGCCCAGGCAGCTGCAGGGGCACGCCAGGGGTTTGGTGCTGCAGGGGTTTGGTGCTGCAGGGGTCAGTGCTGCAGGGGTTTGGTGCTGCAGGGGTCAGTGCTGCAGGGGTCGGTGCTGCTCGGGTCGGTGCTGCTCCTGATGTGCTGCAGGGTTTGGTGCTGCTGGGGTTGGTGCTGCTCCTGATGTGCTGCAGGGGTTGGTACTGCAGGGTTTGGTGCTGCAGGGGTTTGGTGCTGCTGGGGTCGGTGCTGCAGGGGTTTGGTGCTGCTCCTGATGTGCTGCAGGGGTTTGGTGCTGCAGGGGTTTGGTGCTGCAGGGTTTGGTGCTGCAGGGGTTTGGTGCTGCAGGGGTTTGGTGCTGCAGGGGTCGGTGCTGCTGGGCCACACCAGGGGTCGGTGCTGCTCCTGATGTGCTGCAGGGGTTGGTGCTGCAGGGGTCGGTGCTGCGGGGGCACACCGGGGGTTTGGTTTGCTGGAGTCAGTGCTGCTCCTGACGTGCTGCTGTTCTCCCCAGCAGAGTTCTGCCGCATCGACAAGGCACTGTGCCACGACGAGGACGAGCAGCTCAGCTTCGAGGCCGTGCGCAACATCCACAAGCAGATGGACGACGACGCTAACGGCAACGTGGACGTGGAGGAGAGCGACGAGGTCAGTGCGGGGCCTTGAGCTGGATGGAGCTGGGAGGAATAAAGAGCATTTTTATTGAAGGGCCTTCAAAGGCCACACCCTTTGTGGTTCAGCTGTGGCTCTGCCCAGGTGGCTCCAAGATGGGCAAAGGGGCTTGGTCAGGAGATCTCACATTTTTATTAGTCCATCTGCATACAGGAGTCAACTCGCCAATTAATAGCTTCAAATGATGAAGTTTCATCCTCCTTGCTTGCTTGCCCACCCTCCTCTTTTCACGTTGTTTGAGCTTTGGGCCTGAAGTTTGAAGAGATTGTCCTTGAGTCTCCAGCTGGAATAGGATTGTTTTGTCTTCCCCACGCTGTGAAAAGATCCCAGTAACACTTAATATAAAGCTAAAAGCTGCACACCAAAACAGAACAGAGAATCTTAAAACCCAAGGTATCAGCAGGGCCTGGTCCAGCCCGGTGCTGGGGCTGCTCTCACAGTCAGGCTGCTGTGGCTGGGGCTGCACTTGGGCTTGGTGCCTCCTCCTCAGCACAGAGGAAGCCATGTGTCACCTTGTGGTGTCTCAGCACTGTCACCAGTGCTGCCTGGGGCTTCTCCTCGCTGCTGGGGGTTTGTAGCCACTTCCCTGTTCTCAGAGCAACTGTGGCTGCTCCATCCCTGGCAGTGACCAAGGCCAGGTTGGATGAGGCTTGGAGCAACCTGGGGTAGTGGCAGGTGGTGGGATTAAATGAGCTTTAATGTCCCTCCCAACCCAAAACATTCCATGATTTTATGTTTACTGCATTCTTCCACCAGCCAGCTAAAGCAGTTTCAGTCTGTGTGTGCTCACTGCAAAAAAAAGGAGCAGCTTTTTGTTGTGTCAGCCTTGGACACTTTAGCTGATAAAGGATTGAAGAGAAAGAAAGTTGTTGTTCTTTGTTTACACAAGCAGGGATGGAAATAAGAGTCTGCTGGAAAAGGAAAGCTCTTTGTTTGCAGTGTTGCCTCAGTTGTGGTGGGTGCTCGTTGGAGGTGAGGAATTCTGTCTTCTAGGGAGAACTGGCAGCTAAACAGGAAAGCCAGAGTGTTGGAAGCTGAGAGAAGCACATGGGTGCAGGGATCTGCTGCCACTCATGGGTGGCTCTGCAGCCCCAGGTCACAGACCCCAGCCTGGTTTGGCTGGAAGAGACCTTAAATCCACCCAGTGCCACCCCTGCCATGGCAGGGACAGCTCCCACTGTCCCAGGCTGCTCCAGCCCCAGTGTCCAGCCTGGCCTTGGGCACTGCCAGGGATCCAGGGGCAGCCCCAGCTGCTCTTCCAAATCCAGCAGTGTCCCTCTGGAGCAGGGACAGTCCCCAGGGACTCAGCACAGGCCCCTGCTGCCAGGAGCTGCTGGTTTGGGGTGGCTGTTCCCAGCTTGCAGGGCTGTTCCCTCTGCCTCAGTCCCACTTGACTGAGCAATGAAAACAATTGAAAAGCTTCCAGTTGCATTTCCTCCACCACTGGAGGTGTTTCCCTGGAGGCAGCTCCCTGCACTGGGTGGCTGGAGCTGCAACTCAGCCTCTTCCCAGGAACTGGGGCAACCTTGGGCAGCCCAGTTCAGCCCAAGTGTGCTGCTCCCTGGCATTAAATGAGGAACAGGCCTCGTGTCCTTAGGGCTGGGCAGAGCTGGCAGTTTTGTGTCTCTGAGCAAATCTTGCCCCCACTCCCACTGGCGTCATTGGGAGCTCCTGGTACAAAACACTGCTGGGAACATGTGCTGAGAGCTTTGGCACAGAGACACTGCCAGGGTGGGGGGACTCCATGGGTTTTTCCAACAGGCCCCAAATCACTGCCTTGGTGCTCCTACAGCCGCTCCCCAAATCCTTCTGAGCTGGATCTGAGCAGTGCTGAGCCCTGGCAGGGCTGTTCCTGCTCCAGCACCTCTGCTCTGCTTCTAGGAGGGCAGCAGGGCTGGAAAGGGGTCTGGAGCACAAGAGAGGCTGAGCCTGGAGAAAAGGAGGCGCAGGGGACCTTGTTGCTCTGCACAAGGCCCTGCCAGGAGGGGACAGCCCCAGGTCAGGCTCTACTGCTGGGAAACAGGGACAGGAGAGGGAACAGCCTTCATTGAACCAGGGGAAGTTCAGCTTGGACATTGGGAAAATTCTCCTGGAAAGGGCTGTCCAGCCTGAGTGGGGCACAGGGGCACAATCCCAATCCCTTTCCTGCTGGGATCAGCACAGGGCACAGGGATTTCGGGTCCCAGTGCCCGTGGCCAGGGCCTGTGGAGCTTCTCCTACCAATGCCCGGCTCCTGCTCCCCAGGGCTGCTCCCAGTCCCTTCTCCCCGGGCTGTCTGTGCTGGGATTGCCCCGAGCCAGAGCACTCAGGCTGTTGCATGTACAGTTGGACTCCATGATTTTGGAAGTATTTTCCAACCTCAGTGATTCCCTGTCCCTGGATTCCAGCCATGCAGTTGCTGCTTTACCTCTGCTAAGCTTTTATTGAAGTTGCATTAAGTTCACCTGTTAATAAGCTCTGGAGCCACTCAGGGAGGTATTGCAGGAATTTCCCTCCCTGAGCTGGCTCCTGCTGTGCTCTCCCTGTCAAGGTTATCACTCTCCCCCACATGGACCCTGCAGTCAGGTTTAACTCTGAGCTCTGGGGGGACAGCTGCAGGGGGATTATTGGGAAGAATGCAGGAGGCTCAAATTTAAACCTTTTATGGGGTTCATGGACTTCCAGGATGGTCTGTGTTGGGAGGGACTTTAAACCTCATCCAGTTCCACCACCTGCCACGGGCAGAGACACCTTCCATTATCCCAGGTTGCTCTAAGCCCAGTCCAGCCTTGGATTGGAACATTTCCAGGGGTGGGCATTTTCCTGGTTGATTGGGAACTTTATATTTTCATTTATTATTTTGGCCCCCGCCCTTTGGGGGTAAGTGATGGGAGTATTTAGTTTGGACTGAAACCCCTGCCTGGGCAGAAGGGGACACACAGACAACACAAGTATTTTTAAAATAAATTATGGGTGGAGTTTTGTCCCACAGCTTCACACTGTCCATAAATCATCCTTGCAGTTTTCCTGCTGGGAAGTGAATTTTCAATGAAGTGGCCTCGATTAAAGTGAAAGAACTGCCCCTCATGGGGAAATCTTCTAATGAGGGCTCTATTCCTGTCTCCATGCTCACAGCAAAGGCAGCTCTGGCTCTTTGGGATGTGGGTGCCCGTGCCAGGGCTCTGGGATGCTGCCAGCCTGGTTTCCTCAGGAAACACGGTTTGTGTTGCTGCTCAGTGTTTCTGTGCCTCTTCCCAGGGCTGGATCTGCTGCCCGGGTCCCTGGGCAGGGACAGGCTTTGGGGACAGGGGTTGTCTGTGCCTCTGGAGGAGCTGGGAGCTGGGGAAGGTGGGGAGCACAGCGAGCTGCGGCGCGTGGCCGGGCCTGGCCTTGGCTCGGCACCACGGCAGGGAGGGTGGCACACGTCCAGGCTGTGGGAGGGATGGGGAGCGCTGAAAAATCACTTCAGTAGCTGCAGCTTCTGCAGATAAAAACACCACAGAGTTCAGGCAGAGGTTGGACAGTGCTCTCAGGCACAAGGTGGGATTGTTGGGGCTGTGCAGAGCCAGGACTTGGACTTGATGATCCTTTTGGGTCCCTTCCAACTCAGGAGATTCTGTGGTTCTATGGGAAAAAAAAACCTCCAGAAAATCCCATTTTGCGGATCTGCTCATTTCTGAGTGTGCCTTCAGCCAGCAAGTTTGTCCCCAGTCCCTCTGCAGCTCTCCTGGAGCCCCTCCAGGCTCTGGCAGGGCTCTGAGCTCTGCCTGGAGCTTCTCCTCTCCAGGTGAGCCCCCCCAGCTCTCCCAGCCTGGCTCCAGAGGGGCTCCAGCCCTGGAGCAGCTCTGGGGCCTCCTCTGGACTCTCCAGCAGCTCCAGGTTGTCCCACTGTTGGAGGCCCCAGAACTCAAAGATTAGCATTCCCAGGCTGAGTGTTGCCACTGTGATCCCAGCTCCTCCTGGGGTTTGTAGCAGTGGTTCTGGTCGTGTTGCTTTTGCCTGGTTTGACCAGAGGTTGTCTTTCCCTGAACTTGGTGTGGATTCTCAGGTTTGACTCAGTTTCCTTGTGGATTCACAGCCTGGCTGAGGCTGGGGTGTCTGTGTGGGACCTTGGAGATGGTCTGGTCCACCTCTGTGCAGGGCTTGGAGCTGTGGGTGTCTCCAGCCCGGGTCAGTGGGATCTTTAACACTTGGCAGTGCTGCTTTCAGTGCTGTGCACAGTGCTCCTTGTGCCTGGGGTTTGGAGTGCCTGGGGCAGTGGGAGGTGACCCTGTCCATGGCAGGGGTGGTCCTTCCCAACCCAAACCAGTCTGGGGTTCTGTGGTTTGGTCTTTTCCCCAGAAGGTACTGGTGAAAAATGTGCTTTAAGGTCTCGGGGCTTTGGTGGGCCCAGCCCAGCTCCCCAGCCCCATCCTGCCTCCCCTCCCTGCTCATTTTTCGGGACATCCCCCAGCCCAGCCCTGTCCCCTCCGCCGAGCCCTCGGGTTTGTTTTGGGCGCCGTCAGCCCGAGGGAAGCTGAGGAGGGAACTGAGGGATCACTTTTCCTGTCTCTGCTCCCGAGCTAAATTTACAGAGCAGCAGCTGACGTGCTGGGTGCTGGGGCAGGGCCGGTGACACCGGTGACACCGGTGACATTGCCACCCTCCGGCGCGGTCACGGCGGCACCCATGGGGCACGGCGCCCCTCGGGATCCCCACAGCTGAGCCCCGAGGCTCAGCCCCTGCTGAAAGCACAGATTTCCCAAATTCTCCCATTTTCCTGCCTTCTGAAAGGCAGAGCCCCGGGCTGGAGCTGCCCCCCAGCAGCTGCGGTGCCTTGCAGGGAGCTGGAATCTGAAGCTGCCCAGACCTTCTCCGTGCCCTGTCTGGTGTTAAAGCACCATCTCCAGATCTGAGGGTGTTTGCTGGGTCTGGGTATCGGCCTGTTGCACAGGGAAGAGCCCAAGGATGGAGCTGCCTGTGGGGATTGTGTCCTGGGGGTGGGAACGTGGAGTTATCCTCGAGCTTGGTTCCACCTGTTGGGCCCTGGCATGTGAGTGCTTCTCTGTCTGCTGGTGGTTTCACAGCCTGGTTTGGGTTGGGAAGGACCTCACAGCTCCTATTCCATGGAATCGTGGAATGGTTGGGTTTAGGAGGGATTTTAAATCCCACCCAGTGCCACCCCTGCCATGGCAGGGACAGCTCCCACTGCCCCAGGCTGCTCCAGCCCCAGTGTCCAACCTGGCCTGGGACACTGCCAGGGATCCAGGGGCAGCCCCAGCTGCTCTGGGCTCCCACTGAGCTAGGATACATAGATTTATCTATATTTTTCAGTGGAACTGCCTCCCCTCCTGCCCATGGCATTTGTTCCAGCTTGGATTCGAAGGTGCAGATCAAATCCAGTAATAATTTTTGGGTTCTTTCTCCATTGACACCAAGCTGGTTCCATTGTGCCACATAGGTGAATTTTTGGTATTACTATTATTCAAAGAAAAGTCTGGAATCCCAAGACTGAAGGTTCTAATTGATTATGCCTTCTCTGTATTAAAATGAATTTAACAAATTTACTTACTGAGTATGTCGTGGCTGGTCTCCCCAGGAACAGAAACATTCAGGGGTACTGCAGGGAATATACTTATATCTGTATAAAATATACATGTGTATATCTTATATATCTAATATATCCATTATGGGTTTTAAATTCAGATTTATCACGACTTCCCCATCAAAATTCATACTATTCAGAAATTTTTTTAATGCTCCTCATCTCCCTAAAAGATGAACCAAAGCTTAATCCTGCTGTTAATTCCTCTCCTAGTTCTTGAGGGAAGACTTGAATTACCATGACCCAGCAGTCAAGCACAGCACTTTCCATGGAGAGGACAAGCTCATCAGTGTGGAAGATCTCTGGAAGGCCTGGAAAACATCCGAAGGTAAAAAAAGGGCAAAAAGCCAAGAAATCCTTTCCCAGGAGTGCCAAAGAGTTTGGATTTCAGATGCCCTGGGCAGAGTGTGCAGCTCTCAGGAGGAATGTGCTGCTTTTTTCCTCCCTTGGACCAGGCCTTGTACCCCTCCAGCTCCCTTTTTGAGGTGTGGATTCCCAGGATTTCCTTGGAGTTGGTACTTCCAAACTGTTCCTGCTGCACCTGAGTGTGGCCACCAAAGGATCGGTTCTTGTTTTGTTCCTCTGCCCTAGAAATGTGTGTTAAAGACAGCCAAATTCCAGGTTCTTCAAACACCGGGTTCCAGATGGAGTTGTAATGGGGTGATAACATCCTCAATATTCAATAGAGCTGCTTGGGAGCTTTCCTGCAGGTTGTGTTTTCCTTAGGAGAAACGTTTTGAACATGAAAAGCTCCTCCACAGTCAAAAGAAGGGAGAGTAAAATGCAGGAAGTGACATAAGTCCAGTCCATATAGAAATAACTTGTAGCTGTTCCAAAATGCTGTTGTTCATCCCAGCACCCAGGGAGGTGGTGGCAGTTCAGCCTCTGCTGAGAAACTTCCTGAAGCTTGGGAATCTTGAAACAAACTTTTCAGACTGCAAGTGCTTCCCCAGTGCTTTCTGTGTGAAAAGTTCTGTGGTAGTTCCACTGAAATTATTAATCCAATTTTTTTCAGTGCTCCTCAGCTCTAAAAGAGGAGTACTACCTACATCCACTCCTTGAAATACTGGATATTAATCTTCTAATCAGTTCACAGCCATAGCAACTTCAGTTTCTCACTTGTGTCCTGTTTGCATTTGACTTTTCTGTATTAGCCCTTCAGTTCCCCTGCTGGGGTGTGCTCTGTGTTCCCAGAGCTGTGGGTGCAGCTGCAGCAGTGCAGCAGTCCCCAGTCCCAGGGGCACTGAATGCACACTGAGAGCAGCATTTGCAGCCAGGACTAGAACACGCTGGGGCTGTGCATGAGGAGAAGCTCCAGGCAGAGCTCAGAGCCCTGCCAGGGCCTGGAGGGGCTCCAGGAGAGCTGCAGAGGGACTGGGGACAGGGATGGAGGGACAGGAGCCAGGGAATGGCTCCCAGTGCCAGAGGGCAGGGCTGGGTGGGAGATTGGGAATTGGGAATTGTTCCCTGGCAGGGTGGGCAGGGCTGGGATGGAATTCCCAGATTCCCCTGGATCCCTGGCAGTGCCCAAGGCCAGGCTGGACACTGGGGTTGGAGCAGCCTGGGACAGTGGGAGGTGTCCCTGCCATGGCAGGGGTGGCACTGGGGGGCTGTGAGGTCCCTCCCCATCCAAAGCAGTCTCTGTGATATCCATGTGATGATTCCAGAGCTGTGTATCCCAGACCAGACACTCTCCCATGGAGCTGGACAGGGATGTGTTGAAAATCCATGTCCACATCACTTTAGGAGTGGCACAATTGCCCAGGACAGGGATGGAAACACATCCTGGGGGGATATCACAGCTCTGTGGATGTTCTGGAGAACATGGTCAGTGCTGGGGATGTTGGAGTCTGTGGGCTCAGAGGGATTTTCCAGCCTCAGGGATCCAGTGATTCCATGACTCTGAATCCCTTTGCCTCCTGTGTGCAAGGAGTGCCTCGTGTAAGAAATATTTATCCCATTGCAGGGCTGTTTACACACGGCTTTGCCTGGAGTGTGTTCTGCTGTCAGCTGGGAAAGGGTAGAAATCATTAGGGGTGGAGGAGAACATGCCCTGATACTTGCCAGGCCCCCTAATTACTGCGCTGTCCTGGCTCTGTCCCTGCCCCTGGCACATCCACGTCCCTGGCAGGGCTGCCGTGGCACAGGGGGTGTCCAGTGCTGGACTGAGCTCCTGCTCTTGTTTTCCCTTGCATCATCTTGTGGATCTGGCTGATAGAATAAGTGACTGCTTTCTGGAGGGGGCTCTGATGTCATGGAACCACAGGAGTTTGGGATGGGAGGGACCCCAAATCCCACCCAGTGCCACCCCTGCCAGCAGGGACAGCTCCCACTGTCCCAGGCTGCTCCAGCCCCAGTGTCCAGCCTGGCCTGGAACACTTCAGGGAAATTTGAAGCTGATTTTGGAGTTTGAGCTGAAGTGGTGAATCAGGCTTGTAGGAAAGGTCTGCTCCTTCCTGTGGGTGTGAAGAGCAGCTGTGAAGGGCACTGCCATCCCGCAGGGATCCTGTGGCTGGGCCATGTCATTTGTTTCCAAGCAGTGCTTTTCCTCCCTTCCATTGCTGCTGTTCCTGGTCACACGTGGAAAGGAAAAAGATATGTCTGCCCTTTAATTCTGACAGAACTTAAAGGCTGTGATGCTGTTAGAAGGTGCTGGATCTGAGGGATGGCACCTGGGTGAGCCTGGCCCTGCCAAAGCAGTGGAAGCGATGCCAGATCAGCCCCTGGGGTGAGGAGGCAGGGCCGGGCCCTGCTCATCTCGGTGCCTGTGGTTCTCAGGGATTCCTTCCCACAACAGGCACGGCTGCATGTGGAAGTGAGAGCAGCCAGGGGCTCTGGAGGAGCCAGGGCCAGCCGTGCTGCTGGCTGGGTGCCTTGTGGGCCTTCATCTCCCTCATCTCTGCCAGGTCCCTCATCTCTCATTTCTCTGAGCTCCATCTCCCTCATTTCTCTCTGCTCCCTCAGGTTTGTGAGCTCCCTCAGCTTCCTCATCTTCATCTGTCTCCACTTCATGAGCTCAATCAGCTCTCTGAGCTCACCCATCGCTCTCATCTCCCCCATCTGTCACAGCTCCATCTCCCTCATCTCTCCCAGATCTCCCATCTCATTTCTCTGAGCTCCATCTCCCTGATCTCTCACAGCTTCCCCACGTCCCCCAGCTCCCTCATCTCTCCCAGGTCACCCATCCCTCCTCTCCCTCACCCTCAGCTCCCCGTGGAGGCGTTGGGCTGCCTGGAGCTTGGGAAGATGTTTCTGCGCTCGTGGGCCCAGCCAGGGTTGGCACTGCAGCAGGACAGGGCCAGGGGATGATAAATTCAAGTGTAACAAAGCCCCTGACCAATAAACACATCTGCTGTGCCCCAGGCCAGGCTGGACACTGGGGCTGGAGCAGCCTGGGACACCGGGAGGTGTCCCTGCCATGGCAGGGGTGGCACTGGGTGGGATTAAATCCCTCCAACCCAAACCAGTCTGGGATTCTGGGACTGTGTTTGCCCTCAGAGCATTGCTGTAAGGACAGCACAACAAAGTGGCAAAGGCAGGAGCCTGATTTCCTAAAGTTTCATAATTTATGGCTCTGGAGCTGCATGACAGCTCCAAAAATAATCCACAGGTGCCCAGGGGAGGAGGTTAAGGAGCAAAGTTCACCTGGTTCACCGGGGCTGCAGCTCCTGCTCCACCTCCTCCCACAGATCCTTTCTCAAGTGCTTCCGATGGTTTTTCCCGACGTTGCTCCATATGTGCTTTTCTTAGTCAGAGCTCAGAGGGAATCCCAGAATCCCAGACAGGTTTGGGTTGGAGGGACCCCAAATCCCACCCATTCCCACCCCTGCCATGGGGACACCTCCCACTGTCCCAGGCTGCTCCAGCCCCAGCGTTCAGCCTGGCCTTGGGCACTGCCAGGGACCCAGGGGCACCCACAGCTGCTCTGGGCACCTGTGCCATGGGTCTGGAGCAGGGGGTGAGGATTTGGGAGCTGCCCTCAGGATCCAGGGCCTTTGGGCATGTGCTGAGGATGAGCATTCCCTGTTGGGATTATGGAGGCAGCAGGATCAGCTGGCTGATAGGAATCCCAGGGATCCCCGCTGTCACCTGCAGTGCTTTGGGTGTTGCCCTGCCAGGCTGCCCTGCCCGAGCCCTGCTGGTGCCATGGCCGGAGGTGGAACCTCCTCTGCTCCTCTATCTGATGGCCTCGTTGCATGTTTTAATTTTGGGAGCTGGGAGCACAGGGGCAAACAGCCCTGGGAGGGGTGTGTTGTCACAGGGAAAGCTCCAGGCAGCTCTTCCCGTGCCGTGTGGGGTCTGTGGGAGATCAGGGGCAGCAGAACCTCAGGAGTTCCTGAGTCTGGGCAAAAATGGTCCTCAGGGGGAGGCTGAGGTCCTGCAGGACTGCCTGGAGTGTCCCACTGCCAGAGGGCAGGGCTGGGTGGGAGACTGGGGATTGTTCCCTGGCAGGGTGGGCAGGGGCTGGATGGGAGATTGGGGATTGGGATTATTCCCTGGCAGGGTGGGCAGGGCTGGGATGGAATTCCCAGATTCCCCTGGATCCCTGGCAGTGCCCAAGGCCAGGCTGGACACTGGGGCTGGAGCAGCCTGGGGCAGTGGGAGGTGTCCCCATGGCAGGGGTGGCACTGGGTGGCATTTGGGGTCCCTCCCCACCCGAAGTGTGACTCCCTGGTGCCTCATGGACCCCGGATGAGCTGTGGGCCTGCTCTGCTCTCTGCAGTGTACAACTGGACGGTGGACGAGGTGGTTCAGTGGCTCATTTCCTACGTGGAGCTGCCCCAGTACGAGGAGACCTTCCGCAAGCTGCAGCTCAGCGGCCACGCCATGCCCAGGTCAGTGCCATGCCCTGGTCAGTGCCAGTCCTGGTCAGTGCCAGTCCTGGTCAGTGCCAGTCCCGGGTCAGTGCCATGTCCTGGTCAGTGCCATGCCCTGGTCAGTGCCAGTCCCGGGTCAGTGCCAGTCCTGGTCAGTGCCAGTCCCGGGTCAGTGCCAGTCCTGGGTCAGTGCTATGTCCTGGTCAGTGCCAGTCCTGGTCAGTGCCTGCAGCATCCCCGTGGGATGTGTGCAGGGACAGAACCAGGGCCTGGCAGGAGTCAGCTGCTCTCAGCACCTGAAATTCCTTGGCCTGTGCACTGCCCAGTTCTGCTCCAGCTGTGAGCAAAAAGGGGGGAAATTCGGGTTAGATATGGGGAAGGAATTGTTCCCTGGCAGGGTGGGCAGCCCTGGCACAGGTGCCCAGAGCAGCTGTGGCTGACCCTGGATCCCTGGCAGTGCCCAAGGCCAGGCTGGACACTGGGGCTGGAGCAGCCTGGGACAGTGGGAGCTGTCCCCATGGCAGGGGTGGCACTGGGTGGGCTTTAAGTCCATTCCATGTAAGAGGAGCACTGGCTGGGAGCCAGCCTAAACTTGTAACAGGTTTGAAATACCTCAGTGCATTGTTTTATATAAGGTTCCTGTTGCTGAAAAAGGGCCTTTTCAGCTGACTGGGAAGGAGGGATTAACTGGGGATAAAATGAGGGTGTTTTTGAGGCAGCACAATGTCCACATTCCTTCCAAGGGAGAGCTGTGGTTTGTGGTCTGTGACACAGGATGTAAAGGCAATGGAGATATGGTTAAAAAACAGTTATTAGTGATTGGTAGGACACCAAAAGATGGGTTTTGATGGGAAATCAGTGTCTCATGTTCTCAGGTTAATGAATTAGGCCTGGCCCTGTTTTTTCCTGCGCTCTCCCAGTCCTAAAAATGCTGCTGCAAAGTGTCCCAGAGACGCCCTGGTTAGAGACTACAGCAGTGAGGGATTTGCCCCGGCAGCAGGGAGCTCCCAGGCCCTGCCTGCACCTCCCTGGTGCCTGCTGTGTTGCTGGCCCTGGTGGATGTGCCCACAGCTCCTTTCTCCCGTGCAGGCTGGCAGTGAACAACGCCACCATGATGGGCACGGTGCTCAAGATGACCGACCGCAGCCACCGGCAGAAGCTGCAGCTCAAGGCTCTGGACACGGTGCTCTTCGGGCCTCCTCTGTGTGAGTACCCAAACCCAGCTGCCAGGCTGGGAGAGACCCCCAGGGCCACCAGCTCTGCTCAGACTGGGCACCAGAGCCAGGCCTGGGGACCCAAACCGCAGCCCCACCCAGGGAAATCCTCCCAGCACAGTCCCCTGGAGCAGGAACGGGCTGGTCCTGGATTCTTGGAGCAGCTCTGTAGCCTGGAGCACCCTGGGCTGGCATTCCCACCCCAGAAGGCTCTCCCAGAGGGGCAGCTGGATCTGCCACTGTCCTGCTGGCATCTCCTGTGTGCAGAGTAAATCCTGCTGCCCTTCGGTGGTGCTGATGGTGGGGGCGAGGTGCTGGAGGCAGCAATCCTGCCTGCTCCCAGGGCAGCTGCTGCCGTGTCCTGCAGCTCTGTCAGGAGTCTGGGCTCTCCTGGGGCTTCACTGTCATCTCCTGAGGCTCTGCTGGTGGCTCAGGCTGTCACTACCCACCTCTGGAGGAGGGCAGGAGCAGCAGGCTGGATGGGAAGTTCAGGGTGGCTGGTGGGAGGCCCTGGGCTCCTCTGATGCTTTATCAGGATCTTAAGCTCTCTGATGTGTATCTCCATGCTCCAGGTGCTCCCAGTTCCCTCTGGCTCCTGTCTGCTCCCTGCTGAAGGTTCTTTTGTCTCTCTGCTTAGCTGGCATGGCTTTCTCCTGGGCTTTGTGTGCAGAGGGGTGGAATCCCCCCTTTCCTGCTGCCTGTGAGAGGGAACACTACAGGAATTTTGGGGTTCCAGCGCTCGTGGCTGGGGCATGTCTGGCCTCTCCCACTCCAGCACCCCAAGTCCTGCTCCCCAGGGCTGCTCTCCATCCCTTCCCACCCAATCCTGGGAAAACTGCCTGCACGGTGTGAACCACAGTGTGAGGCTTGGCAGAGCCATAGAAAGGGAATCACAAGCCTGGTTTGCACAATCAGCCGGTTTTGCTCACAGTTATTGAAAAGCCTCTTTTTGCACAGGCACAGCTTGGTTTTTATTTATTGCCTATGTTAAATGTGAAGGTTTTTGATGAGTTGGTGGCCTGGCCAGGTCTGGTGGAGCTGTTTTGGGTGATCTCCTCCAGCAGTGGCTCCAGCCCAGCGACTCCTGCGCTGGGGGCGGAATTTTTACAGACTTGTTGTGCTGTGTAAATGGCAGATGTAAATTGTGAGTGAATGGCTTGTACTGGCTGGCAATTAATGTCTGTTGCCATGCTGGAGCTGTTCGTTCTGCCCTGCAGCTCCCTGGCCCTGCAGCCTGACCCTCCTTGGGGCACTGAGATCAAAGTGTGCAGGGAGCCGTGGTGCTCCGTGGTGCTCCGGAGCCAGGGCTGCTCACCCACCTCCTGCCTGGGGCTTTTCCAGCCCAGGGCTGCTCACCCACCTCCCAGCTCCTGCCTGGGACCTTTCCAGCCCAGGGCTGCTCACCCACCTCCCAGCTCCTGCCTGGGGGCTTTTCCAGCCCAGGGCTGCTCACCCACCTCCCAGCTCCTGCCTGGGACCTTTCCAGCCCAGGGCTGCTCACCCACCTCCCAGCTCCTGCCTGGGACCTTTCCAGCCCAGGGCTGCTCACCCACCTCCCAGCTCCTGCCTGGGGGCTTGGAGCAGCCTGTGCTGTGGAAGTTGTCCCTGGGATGAGCTTGGAGGTCCCTCCCAACCCAAAGCATTCCATGGTTCTATGACTCTATATTCAGGGTGTGTGAGAAAGGGAAATACACTTTAAATCTGCTGCTGAAGGAGAGGTAAATCCCTTTTCAGATGGTAAAATTTGCTGGTTTCTGGTCATCTGAATGGCTTTGTCTCCAGTCCTGGGGAGTGGTTGTTTATCTAAACCAATTCCTTCGGGAATGGATTGCAAAACACGTTCAGGAGCCACCAGCAAGTGGCAGCTTTGGGCAGTGCTCAGTGACCTTTAAAGCTGCAGAAGTGCTTCACACCTCCTTTCCCATGGCTGGGGGAGCTGGCTCTGGAGGGGAGCTGGGCTCTGGGGGCTCTGAGGTGCTGGCAGTGGGCAGTGGTGCACAGGTAGAGTTCAAGGGTTTGTCTCCTCTCTTGAAGCTCTGTTCACACAGGTGTAAAAGCGTTGATAAAAGCAGCCTCCATTGGAGCCCCACTCCTCCTGCAGGCTCCTAAATCCAGACACCTGCTGCCTGTGGGCATCACAGCAGGTGGACACAGTGCTGTTCCTGCTGCTGGGTGAAGCTTTTCCCAGCCCAGGGCTCCAGGGCTGCATGTTTGACGTGTGGCAGAGGTTTCAGCCAGATTCCATGGCCAGTTTCCATGTGGATCTGCAGGCTCCTGCCATCCCCCCAGGTCTGGTTCCTGCTGCCAGACTCCATTTCCTCCAGCAAACGGGTCTGACCACTTCAGCTCTGTAATTAATCCAAGTGCAAGGGAGCGTGCTACAATTATAATGTAAGCAAGATGAGGTGGTTCCTTCTGTGTCTGTCCCTTTGGGGTCCTGCTCCTGTGGTTCAGGAATTTATCTACCACAAAATACCACAGCTTCAGGTGAAACATGGAATCCTAGAATAGTTTGGGTTGAAGGGACCCCAAATCCCACCCCTGCCATGGCAGGGACACCTCCCACTGCCCCAGGCTGCTCCAGCCCCAGTGTCCAGCCTGGCCTTGGGCACTGCCAGGGATCCAGGGGAATCTGGGAATTCCATCCCAGCCCTGCCCACCCTGCCAGGGAACAATTCCCAATTCCCAATCTCCCACCCAGCCCTGCCCTCTGGCACTGGGAGCCATTCCCCCTCGGCCTGGCCCCACAGAGCAGAGGGGCTCCAGCCCTGGGAGCATCTCCATTTTCTCACTTTCATTGTAGATGCTTTTTTCTGGTATCTGATCCCAGCCAACCCTCCTGCAGCTCCAGACCTTCCCCCCTTGTTCAGTCATTTCACCTCTTTCAAACACCAAGCCCAGGCAGAGCTGCAAACCCAGCAGGACATCAAGCCCTGCAGCTGAGCAGAACCATCAGTCTGTGATAAAACTGTGCCTGCTCTCCCTCCTGTCCCAAAAACAAAAGGAGATGAGAAAGGGAGAGAAGTCTGTTTTCCGTGGTGTACGTGGCTTTTCCCACAGCCTTTGCAGGTGCAGGGTGAGCCCAGGCCTGCCTGCTGCTGGGAGCAGCCACAGGGGGTGCAGGACAGGCTGTGCCACCCCACTGCGGGCAGGGACAGAGCCAGAGGACTGAAATCACTGCCAGCTGCACAGGAACAGCCTGAGCCTCGGCCTCGGGCCCTGCCCAGGGCACAGGGGCAGCAGGGAAGGAGCTGAACTGACAGAAATTCTCTCCCAAGTTCAAAAGCAGCAAAGCTGCACCTGCAGAGCCTCCAGCACTGGGACACCAACAGCAGGAGCACCTGGAGCTGCTGGAGAGAGCCCAGAGGAGCCCCGGGGCTGGAGCCAGGCTGGGAGAGCTGGGAATGTTCAACCTGGAGAGGAGAAGCTCCAGGCAGAGCTCAGAGCCCTGCCAGGGCCTGAAGGGGCTCCAGGAGAGCTGCAGAGGGACTGGGGACAGGGATGGAGGGACAGGAGCCAGGGAATGGCTCCCACTGCCAGAGGGCAGGGCTGGGTGGGAGATTGGGAACTGGGAATTGTTCCCTGGCAGGGTGGGCAGGGCTGGGATGGAATTCCCAGATTCCCCTGGATCCCTGGCAGTGCCCAAGGCCAGGCTGGACACTGGGGCTGGAGCAGCCTGGGACGGTGGGAGGTGTCCCTGCCATGGCAGGAGTGGCACTGGGTGGGATTTGGGGTCCCTTCCATCCCAAACCAGTCTGGGGCTCCATGCATCTGCATTTCCATGCAAGCTGAGTTTTCCTCAGTTCGCTCATCCCTGTGCCCTTGGGCAGCGCTGGCGCAGAGGAAGGATGTGTGCAGTGCTGCTGTGCTGGAGTGGGCACAGCTGGCACCAGGGCCAGGACAGGGACCGGCCTGGGGTGGGGCTGGCAGGAGAGCAGGGCTGTGGTGGCTGTGGGAGGCACACAGCACCTGAACACTGGTGTCAGCCCCCTGCTCTCCAGATGGGAACTGCAGGGATTGGGCTGAGGGATCTGCAGGCACTTGCCAGGATCTGCTCCCTGGAAGAGGATGTTGTGACAATCCATCCGGAGGGGAGCGGGGCCAGCGCTCGCCGTGTTTAGCTCTGAGTGTTGGGTGTGCTCCGGCTGTTTTCAGGCGGTGATGGGTCACAGCTGCTGGGGAGCTGGTGCTTGGCTGGCTCCTGGGCTCTGGGGAGGGCTCCTGTCCCTCTCCCTCCGCAGGGAAAGCCTTGCATCATGGGCAGGGAGCAGCAGCCCTGTCCCCACGTGTCCATCCGGGGCACTCCTGCTGTGCTCTGCCTTTCCAATTCGGGTTTCCACCTCCCAGGTCCCCTCCTGTGTCCGCCCAGCTCTGCCAGTGGGACAGATGTGGTTTGGCTGGGGAGGGCTTCATCTCCTGTCCAAGCCACCCCTGCCATGGCAGGGACAGCTTCAGAGGCACAGCTTCTCTGGGCACCCTGTGCCAGGGCCTGCCCCCTCAGTATCTCCCCTGTATCTGGGGTGAATTGCCTGCTGTTTGGTTCCAAACCAAATTATACTGATCGTTAAGTCCCAGCTCACTGGACTGAGCTGCTCTTTCATTTGTGGCTTTTCCCGCTCACACTTGGTTGAGTTACAGGAAAAAAATCTGCTTGACTCATCTTTTTGTGCTTTGTTTAGCACTTCAGCCCCCACCTAATTACTTTCATCCTCTCACATGCATCAACACCTTTTCTTGAATTAACTGTTGAAAAAGGGAATTTCCACACTGAGTTGTGAGTCTGATGGAAAGTTTGGCAACTTGACAGTTGGACACTTGAGCTGCCCCAGCTCTGATCTCAGCAGTGTTTTTCCAAATGTTTATTTTGTTCTTAGTTACCTGTGCTGCCCTGTGAGATCACAGCCGTTCTGGAGGGTTTCCTATCTGCAGTTTCCCCTGTACCACTTACTGCCAGGCAAATTGGAGCTGGAAGATTTGGAATTTCATCTTTTTATTGTTGTGGCTGTGCCTGCAAATTGAATAAGTATTGTCAAGCTTCTGCTTTCCCCCTGAACTATGGACACAGCTCAGCTCTTCCCTTGGTGAATCCCGTGCCACAATTCCCTGTCAGGCTGCCCCGAGCTCTCCTGTCCCACTGGAGCAGGCAGAGCCCTTGGAGCCCTCCCTGGATGTTTGGCTCCAGCAGGGTCTCTGTCTCTCGCAGTGACCCGTCACAACCACCTCAAGGACTTCATGCTGGTGGTGTCCATCGTCATCGGCGTGGGCGGCTGCTGGTTCGCCTACATCCAGAACCGCTACTCCAAGGAGCACATGAAGAAGATGATGAAGGACCTGGAGGGTCTCCACAGGGCTGAGCAGTCTCTCCATGACCTACAGGAGAGGTAGGTTCCCGCTGTCCGTGCTGCTGGAGCGCTCACCTCCTCCTGCAAGGTTCTGTCCCTTCAGGTTTGGGGAAATGCTTGTTTTTAGCTGCCCTGGAGCCTCACACCAGAGTCAGCCCCTGCCCGAGGGACCTGGCAAAGCTGCCAGCAGCCTCTGGAGCTCAGCTGGGCGCTGGCTCCTCCTGCAGGGACTCCTGGAGCAGGCTGTTCTTTCCCAGTCACCGCAGCAGGGAATGCTTTGGCTTCAAAGGGACCTTAGAGCTTGTCCAGTCCCACTCCTGCCGTGCAATCCAGCTCACGTGGAATTTGTCATCCAAGGTTCTTCCACCTTGGCTTTTGATGGCGAAAAAGCGTGTTGGAGCAGTGGGGGCACTCAGGGATTTACACATCCCCTCTTGAATTCCTGGAGCTGTGTGGGGAAGCGGTACCCGAGTCAAAGGGTGTTGCATACATCATTTTGAAGTATTAAATAGGAATATCTGGGCTTTTGGCAGATAGATCAAAACCTGCAGCCTCAGGAATGAGGTCTCTGCTCCCAGGAATCACTGCAATGGTTCCAGTAGAACTACTGGTGGGAGACCATGCTCCAGGAGAGCCTCTGGACATAGGGATCCTCTGGGACAGGGAGGAGCCTTCAGCCCTGGTGGTGACAAACCCGTGGGGTGCTCTGGCAATGGAATATTTTAAGGGCAGATTTAGCAAATAACAGAGCAGGATAGTCTGGGGCTGGAACAATCTTCTGTGAGGTTATAGGGAGTTTGGGAGGACAAACCTTAACTAGGCTGCCCTGTGAGCTGGTGGCTGCATTTCCAGTGACTTCTGTGAACATGAGTTTGATGCCAGGTTCTCGTCCTGGGGTGTGGTGAGTGCCCTGTGCGGGCACCAGGATCCTGAGCAGGTCAGGCTGCCCTGCAGAGCTGCAGCCAGCCAGTTTTGGGAATCTGTACGGTCTATGCCCAGGTCTGCAGCCTCACTTCTGCCCACGAGCCCATTACAGCCCCAGGGGTTCATCCTGCCCGTGAGTGTTGCTGGAAGGGCTCCTGCTCCCCAGTGAGGTGGCAGCAGTTGGTATCTGTGAGGAGAGCGAGCTCCAGGTGATGGAGCCACGCTGGGCACCTTCCCCTGGCACAAAGTCCTCTCCCCTCTGTGGCTCCAGCCCACAGCTGCTTCCACACAGCCTCGTGGAGTTTTCTGTTACAGCTTGGAAGCACTCCCAGAGAAAGTTGGGATTGTTTTTCCTGCATCTGGAAGGAGACAGGAATCCCTTCTGTGTCCATCCCTGGAGCAGCTGGGTGTCACCTTCGAGCTCCAAACTGGGACTGTGCCTGTGGGGAACGACCTTGGGCCCTCAGCTGAGGGCAGAGCCACGTCAACAAGTGGATGTTCCTGGGAAGTCCAACTAATGCTCTAAAGCCCCTCAGGAGGAAACACAAAACCGCTGGTGCTCACACTGAGCAGCTCGGGCAGGCTCGTCCTCCATGAGGGCACCGAGCAGGAGCTCAGGGACACAGAGGGCACCGAGCAGGAGCTCAGGGACACAGAGGGCACCGAGCAGGAGCTCAGGGACACAGAGGGCACCGAGCAGGAGCTCAGGGACACAGAGGGCACCGAGCAGGAGCTCAGGGACACAGAGGGCACCGAGCAGGAGCTCAGGGACACAGAGGGCACCGAGCAGGAGCTCAGGGATGGGGAGGTGAGCTGGGAGGCCTCCTGAGGGGAAATACTCCTTCTTCACTCCCTCATCCTTGCCCAGCGGGGTCCAGCTGGGATCTTCAGCTGCCACAGCAGCAGAGAAAACTGCAGAGAGCCCCCGTGCTCCGGGGCCTGTGGAGAAGTTGTGCTCAGAGGTTTCTTCTCCAGGGCTTGCAGGGCCCTGCTGTAGTGTCTGGGTGAAGCTCGGTGCTGAGCAGAGCTCTGGAAGGTGCAGAGTGCCTCTCCAGTGCTGCTGGAATTTGCTGAGCAGCTCAGACACGGTCCTGGGGAGCTGGGAGTGTTCATTCCAAACCCCAGCCTTTATTCATCTTCAGAGCACGTTTGAGAACACCCTGCAGCAGTGGCACTTCCCAGTCCTTAAGTGACTCATCAGGATCATCAAGTCTTGGCACATCCTCCTGAAGCCTGGAAGGAGTGGGCAGGTCTGTTTTGGAGATGTGTGGAAGAGCTGATTGTATAGAATCTTCTGGAACATGAGCCCCCTGGTTGCCCAGAGCAGCTGGGGCTGCCCCTGCATCCCAGGGCCAGGTTGGACACTGGGGCTGGAGCAGCCTGGCACAAGGGGAGGTGTCCCCATGGCAGGGTGGTCTCACTGCTGGTTCCTGGTGCTGGGGATGGTCTGTCCTCCCCGCAGGAGCCGCTGTCTCGGGGGCTGCCCCTGCCCCATCCAGCTGAAAACGTCCATAACACCCCTCAGCCGTGCCCCCAGACCCCTGTTCACCCCCCTGGCCACGCACGAGGGGTGCAGTCACCAGTGTGTCACTTGTGTGAGTGGGCATGGCTGTGGGGCACGAGGGGCCCCGGGCAGTGCCAGCAGGGCGTCTGGGGTGTCCTGGTGGCTGCAGGGCTGTGCCAGCCTGTGTCAGACACGTGTTTTCAGTTCTGCAGCACCTCTTCATCACTGCCACCTTCACTTCGGGACAGCTCCATGTCTTTGTTGAATTCTTCTTGGTAATGGTCTTGGCTGACCGTGTCTTCCCCTTGGGACAGCTTTTTGTTGAACTCCCCTTGGGACAGTTCTTGGTCTCTGTTGAATCCCCTGGGACAGTTCCTGGTCTCTGTTGAATTCCCTGGGGCAGTTCCTGGTCTCTGTTGAATCCCCTGGGGCAGCTCCTGGTCTCTGTTGAATCCCCTGGGGCAGCTCCTGGTCTCTGTTGAATCCCCTGGGACAGTTCCTGGTCTCTGTTGAATTCCCTGGGACAGTTCTTGATCTCTGTTGAATCCCCTGGGGCAGCTCCAGGTCTCTGTTGGATCCCCTGGGACAGCTCCAGGTGGTGCCATCTCCCCAGGTTCAGGTGACACTCGGATCCTCTCTGAGGGTCCCTGGCCCAGCTGGTGCCCTGCCAGCCCCACATCCCTGCTGGGAGCCTCAGCACAGGCAGCTCCTCGTGGAGGATCCCACTGATCCACGGAGATCCAGGGTTCCACAAATTCCTACTGGTCCAGTCTGTTGTGAGGAGGAATAAGAAGGTCCAGGCAGGATGAAGGCATGTCTGAATTTGCAGGATGTTTTGGGAGGAACGTGGATCCCTCCCGTCAGGGTGGCCTGATGTGCTCTGGCAGATCTTCCCCTGCTTTGTTTTATCGAAGGCTTCACTTGGGTGAAAATACCGAAAATTGAGCTTAATTTGAGCCTCGTTAGAGGAAATCAGGGTGTGCTGTGGGAAATGAAGAAAATGCACCTTGAGTATTTGATCAATGAATCAAACTGGGATCAAGCAGCTGACAATTTCCTTTCTTCCCACGGTGAACTGTCTCCCTGGCATCCCCAAGGGCAGAGCAGGGCACAGGGCTGGCTCTGGGTAGATCAGGGCACAGGGCTGGCTCTCATGGATCGATCAGGGCACAGGGCTGGCTCTGGAGGGCACAGGGCTGGCTCTGGAGGGTAGATTAGGGCACAGGGCTGGCTCTCATGGATAGATCAGGGCACAGGGCTGGCTCTGGAGGGTAGATCAGGGCACAGGGCTGGCTCTGGTGGGTAGATCAGGGCACAGGACTGGCTCTGGAGGGTAGATCAGGGCACAGGGCTGGCTCTCATGGATAGATCAGGGCACAGGGCTGGCTCTGGAGGGTAGATCAGGGCACAGGGCTGGCTCTGGTGGGTAGATCAGGGCACAGGACTGGCTCTGGAGGGTAGAGCAGGGCACAGGGCTGGCTCTGGTGGGTAGAGCAGGGCACAGGGCTGGCTCTGGTGGGTAGAGCAGGGCACAGGGCTGGCTCTGGTGGGCAGAGCAGGGCACAGGGCTGGCTCTGGTGGGTAGAGCAGGGCACAGGGCTGGCTCTGGTGGGCAGAGCAGGGCACAGGGCTGGCTCTGCAGGACAGCCCCAGCCCTGGCTGCCAGGACCCGGGGAGCCGGCCCAGCACTGCCCTGGCTCCGTGTGCCTTGCAGGCTGCAGAAGGCGCAGGAGGAGCACCGCTCGGTGGAGGTGGAGAAGGTGCACCTGGAGAAGAAGCTGCAGGACGAGATCAGCATCGCCAAGCAGGAGGCGCACAGGCTGCGGGAGCTGCGCGAGGGCACCGAGAACGAGCTCAGCCGGCAGAAGTACGCCGAGCAGGAGCTGGAGCAGGTGAGGGCTCCCCTGGGGCAGGACCTGCAGGGGACATGGCACTGAGGGCACTGCTGCTGCATCCCTCCGGGGATCACGGAACACAGACTGGCTGCACTGGGAGGGACCCCAAATCCCACCCAGGGACACCTCCCACTGCCCCAGGCTGCTCCAGCCCCAGTGTCCAGCCTGGCCTTGGGCACTGCCAGGGATCCAGGGGAATCTGGGAATTCCATCCCAGCCCTGCCCACCCTGCCAGGGAACAATTCCCAATTCCCAATCTCCCACCCAGCCCTGCCTTCCTTCAGCTTAAAGCCATTCCCTGTGTGCTGTCCCTCCCTGCCCTGGAAATTGTCTCTCTCCAGCTTTCCTGGGGCTCCTCCAGGCCCTGCAAGGCCACCCTGAGCTCAGCCCAAAGCTTCTCCTGTGCAGGGGAACAATCCCAGCTGTGCCAGCCTTTCCTCCCAGCAGAGCTGCTCCATCCCTCTGCTCATCCTGGAGCTTCCTCTGGGCTCTCTGCAGCAGCTCCAGCTCCTCCTGTGCTGGGACAGGGCTGGGGCAGCTCTGCAGGTGGGCTCAGGGGCACAGGGGCACAATCCCAATCCCTTTCCTGCTGGGATCAGCCCAGGGCACAGGGATTTTGGGTCCCAGTGCCCGTGGCCAGGGCCTGTGGAGCTTCTCCCACCAGTGCCCAGTTCCTTCTCCCCAGGGCTGCTCCCAGTCCCTTCTCCTGGGCTGTCTGTGCTGGGATTGCCCCGAGCCAGCTGCAGGACCTTGTCCTTGGTCCTGCAGAGCTGCAGGAGGTGGCACGGTGCCAGCTCTCCAGCCTGTCCAGGTGCCCCTGGGTGCCCCGTGCCTTCCCTGCGGTGTGTGCCCACACTCCGTGTCCCTGCCAGCTGCGGGGCTGCCCTGGGCCTGTGTCCCTGTCACCAGCAAAGACATTTCCCAGTGCCACTGCCAGTCCTGGCTCCTGAGGGACACCAGTCCTCACTGCTCTCCATCCCCCCTGACTCCAGTGATGCTGCTGCTCTTCTGCCTTTGCTTTCCCACTCCCTTTTGTGGGGGAAAAGCCCCAAGTCTCTTTTCCATAGTGTCCATTTCACACCCCAGTCGCTGCTGTGGTGCTGGACAGGGCAGGTGCTGGCGCCTTGTGACATCCCAGCAGGAGCAGAGGGGTTGGACTTGCCTGGAGCTGCCCCCTCTGGGATTTCTGACTCCCTCCCCAGTCCATGCAGTCCTTCTTTGTTGTGTTCATGGTTTTAGGACAGATTTAGAATGAGTTCAGTTATGCTTTCCACGTTTTCTCGTGGATCAGAGGGGTGTGTAAGGCTTGGGTTGGAACAGCCCTCTGAGGCCATTCCCCAGCACAGACAAGGCCACCACTGACCATGTCCCCATTGCCACATCCCGTTAAATCCCTCCATGGATGTGACTCCAGCATTGCCCTGGGCAGCCTGTGCAGGGCTGGACAACCCTTTCCATAAGGAAATCTTCCCAGTATCCAACCTTAACCTCCCCAAACCTACAAGGAAGTCCAGTAGCTGCTTCCTATCTCACCTGAGGGACAGTTCCCACCTGGCTCCAAGTTACAGATCAGTTTAAGCTGAAAGCCAGACCTCCAGGAGCCAGGCAGGTGCAGGTCTGGATGTTGCAAGGATGTTCCAAGGATGTGTGTATCCTCCCAGCCGTGTCCAGTCTCTTTGCCACCACGGAGGACGGGGACAAAGCCGAGGCAGGAATCCAGGGCTGCCCCTGGCAAGTGTCCTGGGAGCCCTGGGGCAGTGCAGGGGTGCAAACAGCAAATTCCCCTCCTGCCTGGGACAGCAGCAGCCCCGAGCCCCTCAGTGCCTGTTTCCAGGAGTGCTCTTACCCAGCCTCCCTCCTGTGGCCGTGCAGCCTGTCCTGGGCCTGGGTGTCCCGCTGGCACACACAGACACTGGGACAGTGCTCGGGCAGCAGCTGGGGCTGGCCTCGGGAGCAGCCCAGCTCTCAGCCCTGCCCCTGCCCTGCGTTCCCGAAAGGAGCCGGGAGCTGACGTGACTCTGGTTCCCCAGCCCGTCGGGAGGTGAGTACTGCAGAGTCCCAGCAGCACCGTGTGACCCTAACCCAGCACTGCCCCACAGCTGCAGGACACCTGTGACATTAACCTGTCACCCCTGTGACCCCACAGTCCCCCAGTCCTGCACAGTGCCCACTCCCAGGGAGCATTAACCACAACCTCCTTCTGCACCAGCTGGTTCTGATCACCAGAGCCACGCTGCAGGGTTGGCATGGTCCTGCTGGAGCTGGGTGTACGGGATGGAGGAGTGTCCCAGGACCTTCCTCCATCCCTCCCTGCTCACTGGGTCACCTTCCACAGACCCCAGCGGGGCCACAGAACACTGAGAGAACTGTGGAATAGAATCTCAGACTGGTTTGGGCTGGAGAGATTTTAAATCTCATCCCACCCCACCCCTGCCATGGCAGGGACACCTCCCACTGCCCCAGGCTGCTCCAGCCCCAGTGTCCAGCCTGGCCTTGGGCACTGCCAGGGATCCAGGGGAATCTGGGAATTCCATCCCAGCCCTGCCCACCCTGCCAGGGAACAATTCCCAATTCCCAATCTCCCACCCAGCCCTGCCCTCTGGCAGTGGGAGCCATTCCCTGGCTCCTGTCCCTCCATCCCTGTCCCCAGTCCCTCTGCAGCTCTCCTGGAGCCCCTTCAGGCCCTGGCAGGGCTCTGAGCTCTGCCTGGAGCTTCTCCTCTCCAGGTTGAACATTCCCAGCTCTGCCAGGCTGGCTCCAGAGGGGCTCCAGCCCTGCAGCAGCTCTGTGGCTCCTCAGGACTGTCTCCTAGAGCTCCACATCCTCCTGATGTTGGCCCCAGGGCTGGAGGCTCTGCAGGTGGGGTCTCACCAGGGCAGAGTATAACTTCGTTATAAATTTCCTTATAAATTGCTGATCTTAGTGATCCAAATGGGGTCTTAAAGATCTTCCCAGGAGAATGGAGACACACAAAATAACTCCTGTTTGCATGGATTCCCTGCAGAACCACAAGAGTTTGGGTTGTGGACACTTATTTTTGCCACTGGTCCTTGCCTCTTCCACAGCACTTCCCTTTCCCACCATTCCCTAAAAACATTGTTCCTGTGTTACGAGCACTCCTCTACCCTGACCAACCAGTGACAGATTTCCCACCCATGTTTTCTCTGTATTCCCAAATCCCAGGTACCTGTGGGTGATGGTCAGAGTTCTGCTGAGGTGGGCACAGCACCTGACAGAACAAACCTGCCAGGTGCTGCTGGTGTGTGATGGGAAAAGCCAGGAAAACCTGGGGTCTGGGACTGAATTGGGCACTCTGGGGCTGATTCAGGCAGTTTTATACCGAACAGCCCTGAATCACACACGAGTGGTAGAAGTGTTTGACCTCTTGTGTGCGGTGCCTCGGGCTGCTCCTGGATGGATGGTCCTTCTGGGTAAAATACAGAATTTCAGGGATCTGCCTGTGCCCTGGGGCTCTTGGCTCCCTGAAACCCCGCTGGGCTGGGCTGGGTGAGACGTGCCCGAGTTACAGAGGAGCACATCCAGGGAAAAGCTCCAAGTGTGAGCAATCCTTCACCAAAACTGCTCTGCACCCGCCCACGGCCGCCAGGAAGGGCTGTGCCCGTGGGCTGGGAGCTGCAGGAGCAGGGGAGCTGCCTGGCTGGGAGGCAGAGCTGCTGAGCCCCGGGGTGCTGTGGCTCACCGTGCCCCGTCCCTGCAGCGTGTCCCGGGGTTCTGCTGCCATCCTGCCCTTCCCTTCCCTTCCCTCCCTGCAGGGCTTGCCAGGCACCAGGGCTGCCAGAGCCTCTCCACGGGGTGGGCACTGCAGCAGAGCAGTTCATTCTGGTGGGCTGCACCACTGAAGGCTTTTCTGCCAGGCTGCAGTGTCCTCAGCTGGCTGCTCAGCCAGTCCCTTCTCATCCTGAACCTCTGTGGGGTGTCAGGCTGTGCAGGAGCCTGGGCTGGGCTGCAAGGAGAGACCTCAGGAATGGCTGATCCAGCCAGGCTGTTTCTTTTCCTGACCAGCAGCACATGTTTTGTGTCTAAATATTTTTCTCACATTCTCCAGCGTGGAAGTTGTCTCCTGACGAGCTCCCTGGGCTTGGCTGGGAGCTGTGGTGAGACAGGGATTGCCTGTCAGGAGTTCTGCCTCAGCAGGGGGATCTGGGGGATTTACAGACAGGCAGCAAGCTCTGCAGAGCTTCTAGAGGCTGCAGCACGCCCCCAGAGCATCCTCTCTGCGAGCCTAATTCCCTCTGAAAGCCTCGTGCACCGTGCCATCTGCTCCAGAGGGTTTTCCTGGTGGGAAACTGGGAAACCAGAGGGCTCATGGTGGCGTGGAAGGGTCGGCCAGGGCAGGGCAGAGGGGTTCCCTGCTGCCAGGGATGGTGCAGAGGGGTTCCCTGTGCCAGGGAAGGTGCAGAGGGGTTCCCTGCTGCCAGGGAAGGTGCAGAGGGGTTCCCTGCTGCCAGGGTGGGTACAGAGGGGTTCCCTGTGCCAGGGATGGTGCAGAGGGGTTCCCTGCTGCCAGGGTGGGTGCAGAGGGGTTCCCTGCTGCCAGGGATGGGGCAGAGGGGTTCCCTGCTGCCAGGGAAGGTGCAGAGGGGTTCCCTGTGCCAGGGAAGGTGCAGAGGGGTTCCCTGTGCCAGGAAAGGTGCAGAAGGGTTCCCTGCTGCCAGGGTGGGGCAGAGGGGTTCCCTGCTGCCAGGGAAGGTGCAGAGGGGTTCCCTGCTGCCAGGGCAGGGCAGAGGGGTTCCCTGCTGCCAGGGAAGGTGCAGAGGGGTTCCCTGTGCCAGGGAAGGTGCAGAGGGGTTCCCTGCTGCCAGGGTGGGTACAGAGGGGTTCCCTGCTGCCAGGGATGGTGCAGAGGGGTTCCCTGTGCCAGGGAAGGTGCAGAGGGGTTCCCTGCTGCCAGGGAGGGTGCAGAGGGGTTCCCTGCTGCCAGGGAACATGCAGAGGGGTTCCCTGCTGCCAGGGCAGGGCAGAGGGGTTCCCTGTGCCAGGGAAGGTGCAGAGGGGTTCCCTGTGCCAGGGAAGGTGCAGAGGGGTTCCCTGCTGCCAGGGTGGGTGCAGAGGGGTTCCCTGCTGCCAGGGAAGGTGCAGAGGGGTTCCCTGTGCCAGGGATGGTGCAGAGGGGTTCCCTGCTGCCAGGGTGTGTGTGCAGAGGGGTTCCCTGTGCCAGGGATGGTGCAGAGGGGTTCCCTGCTGCCAGGGAGGGTGCAGAGGGGTTCCCTGTGCCAGGGAAGGTGCAGAGGGGTTCCCTGTGCCAGGGAGGGTGCAGAGGGGTTCCCTGCTGCCAGGGTGGGTGCAGAGGGGTTCCCTGCTGCCAGGGAGGGTGCAGAGGGGTTCCCTGTGCCAGGGAAGGTGCAGAGGGGTTCCCTGCTGCCAGGGATGGTGCAGAGGGGTTCCCTGCTGCCAGGGTGGGGCAGAGGGGTTCCCTGCTGCCAGGGAAGGTGCAGAGGGGTTCCCTGCTGCCAGGGAAGGTGCAGAGGGGTTCCCTGCTGCCAGGGCGGGTGCAGAGGGGTTCCCTGTGCCAGGGAAGGTGCAGAGGGGTTCCCTGTGCCAGGGAAGGTGCAGAGGGGTTCCCTGCTGCCAGAGTGGGTGCAGAGGGGTTCCCTGCTGCCAGGGCGGGTGCAGAGGGGTTCCCTGCTGCCAGGGTGGGGCAGAGGGGTTCCCTGCTGCCAGGGAAGGTGCAGAGGGGTTCCCTGCTGCCAGGGCAGGGCAGAGGGGTTCCCTGCTGCCAGGGAAGGTGCAGAGGGGTTCCCTGCTGCCAGGGCAGGGCAGAGGGGTTCCCTGCTGCCAGGGTGGGTACAGAGGGGTTCCCTGTGCCAGGGATGGTGCAGAGGGGTTCCCTGCTGCCAGGGTGGGTGCAGAGGGGTTCCCTGCTGCCAGGGATGGGGCAGAGGGGTTCCCTGCTGCCAGGGAAGGTGCAGAGGGGTTCCCTGTGCCAGGGAAGGTGCAGAGGGGTTCCCTGTGCCAGGAAAGGTGCAGAAGGGTTCCCTGCTGCCAGGGAAGGTGCAGAGGGGTTCCCTGTGCCAGGGATGGTGCAGAGGGGTTCCCTGCTGCCAGGGTGGGGCAGAGGGGTTCCCTGCTGCCAGGGAAGGTGCAGAGGGGTTCCCTGCTGCCAGGGCAGGGCAGAGGGGTTCCCTGCTGCCAGGGAAGGTGCAGAGGGGTTCCCTGTGCCAGGGAAGGTGCAGAGGGGTTCCCTGCTGCCAGGGTGGGTACAGAGGGGTTCCCTGCTGCCAGGGATGGTGCAGAGGGGTTCCCTGTGCCAGGGAAGGTGCAGAGGGGTTCCCTGCTGCCAGGGAGGGTGCAGAGGGGTTCCCTGCTGCCAGGGAACATGCAGAGGGGTTCCCTGCTGCCAGGGCAGGGCAGAGGGGTTCCCTGTGCCAGGGAAGGTGCAGAGGGGTTCCCTGTGCCAGGGAAGGTGCAGAGGGGTTCCCTGCTGCCAGGGTGGGTGCAGAGGGGTTCCCTGCTGCCAGGGAAGGTGCAGAGGGGTTCCCTGTGCCAGGGATGGTGCAGAGGGGTTCCCTGCTGCCAGGGTGTGTGTGCAGAGGGGTTCACTGTGCCAGGGAGGGTGCAGAGGGGTTCCCTGCTGCCAGGGAGGGTGCAGAGGGGTTCCCTGTGCCAGGGAAGGTGCAGAGGGGTTCCCTGTGCCAGGGAGGGTGCAGAGGGGTTCCCTGCTGCCAGGGTGGGTGCAGAGGGGTTCCCTGCTGCCAGGGAGGGTGCAGAGGGGTTCCCTGTGCCAGGGAAGGTGCAGAGGGGTTCCCTGCTGCCAGGGATGGTGCAGAGGGGTTCCCTGCTGCCAGGGTGGGGCAGAGGGGTTCCCTGCTGCCAGGGAAGGTGCAGAGGGGTTCCCTGCTGCCAGGGAAGGTGCAGAGGGGTTCCCTGCTGCCAGGGCGGGTGCAGAGGGGTTCCCTGTGCCAGGGAAGGTGCAGAGGGGTTCCCTGTGCCAGGGAAGGTGCAGAGGGGTTCCCTGCTGCCAGAGTGGGTGCAGAGGGGTTCCCTGCTGCCAGGGCGGGTGCAGAGGGGTTCCCTGCTGCCAGGGTGGGGCAGAGGGGTTCCCTGCTGCCAGGGAAGGTGCAGAGGGGTTCCCTGCTGCCAGGGCAGGGCAGAGGGGTTCCCTGCTGCCAGGGAAGGTGCAGAGGGGTTCCCTGCTGCCAGGGCAGGGCAGAGGGGTTCCCTGCTGCCAGGGCGGGTGCAGCTGCCCGGGCAGGGGTTGGCAGCCCCACAGCCACCCCACGGTGTCGCTCCCCAGGTGCGGATGGCGCTGAAGAACGCGGAGAAGGAGCTGGAGTCCCACTGCAGCTGGGCTGCCCCCGAGGCCCTGCAGAAGTGGCTGCAGCTGACCCACGAGGTGGAGGTGCAGTACTACAACATCAAGAAGCAGAACGCAGAGAAGCAGCTGCTGGTGGCCAAGGAAGGGGTGAGAGCTGCAGCGGCCTCGTGCTGGGGGAGGTCTGGGGGTGAAGCCTGCAGGGTTTCTCTGCATCCTCTTGGTTTTGTGGCATTGTGGAATCCCAGAAGGGCTTGGCTTGGGAAGGACCTTAGAGTTCATCTCATTCCGTTGCAGGGACAACTTTGGTTATATCCCAGGCTGCTCCAAGCCCTGTCCAGCCTGGCCTTGGGCACTGCCAGGGATCCAGGGGCAGCCACAGCTGCTCTGGGCACCTGTGCCAGGGCCTGCCCACCCTGCCAGGGAAAAATTCCCAATTCCCAATCACCCAACCAGCCCTGCCCTCCCTCAGCTCAAGGGCAGTTTCTCTCTTCATGCCTTAAATGTGCATCCTGTAAAAGTGCAGCACAAGCGAGGTGTGGGCAGGGGCTGAGGATGAGGATGAGGAGGAGGATGATGCTCCTGAGCCGTGGGCTCTCGGGATGGGCAGCTCCCAAGCTGGCTGCAGTTGGAGCTGGAGCCCTGGGAATCTGGGATTGCTGTGCTGGGTGAGCTTTGCCCCTCTCAGCACCTCCCTGCTCCAGTGATGAGCGTGCACAGGCAGTGGAATCCCGAGGTCCTGAATCATCGCTGCATTCCTGAGCTGGGATTTCTCCTGCCAGCCCTGAGGGATGAGCCCAGGGAGCTGTTGTGGCTCGTCCTCGTCCCCATGGCCATATGGAGCAGAGCTGGCAGGAGGGAAAACTGCCTTAATCTGCTTTGATTGGGAGCATTTTATCATTCCAGCAGTTTTCCTTTGGCTGTGTCAGTTCTTGCACCCACATCCTTGGCTTTCCTAAGTCCCAGGTTCATGCCACTGGAGCTGGGAATGGAAGAGCTGTGGGAGGAGACTTTAATTTTTGATACAGCAGCAAAAACTCAGCCTCAAACCAGAAATCCTCCTGAGCACACACGCTGGGGTGTGTTTGGTGGTTGTTCACAGGACAATGTGGGAGAGCCCTTCACTGAGTGAGGCACCTGGTTCATGGAATCATGGAATGCTTTGGGCTGGAGAAACCCTCCGAGACCTTCAAGTCCACCTATTCCCCAGCAGTGCCAAGGCCACCACTGCCCCGTGTCCCCAGGTGCCACTTCCACAGAGCTGTGAAATCCCTCCAGGGATGGGGATTCCAACTCTGCCCTGAAAGTTCAGCCTTCCCTCTGATTTTTGGGAAGCTGGGAGAAGGGAGCATGAAATCCCCAACCTGCTGCTTGCTGCTGGGGAATCCCTTCAGCCCAGTGTCAGGGAGAACAGCATTCCTCAGTAACAACATGATTCCCACCATTCCCCCACGGGCAGGCAGCTGCAGGGACTGTTCCTGTCCCAGCCCATCCAGGATGTCCATGGCCTGGAGGAACCTTCAGGTTGTCTTCTTCCTGTGACTTTTCTCTGTTGATATTCCAGGCTGAAAAGATCAAAAAGAAGAGAAACACCCTTTTTGGGACGTTCCACGTTGCTCACAGTTCCTCTCTGGATGATGTGGATCATAAAATCTTAACTGCAAAGTGAGTGTCTGCTCAGCAGCTCCCTTTCACCCCTGCCCTGAGCCAGGCAGGAGCGTCCTCACCCCACAGGAGCTCTGGGGTCGTTTGGCTGAACTTCTGCTGTCCTCAGTGACCGGGGCTTGGACTGCTCCTCTTCATCAGTGGCCTTCTGATTTTACTGTGAGCAACAGGGGTCACAGTTACATGGAGCAATTAAAGGTCCTGCCCAAACGAGCTTCCAGGAGGCTGAGGAGTACTTCAGGGATTGTTATGGGATGGCTTCAGTTAGAGGGATCCCAAATCCCACCCAGTGCCACCCCTGCCATGGCAGGGACACCTCCCACCGTCCCAGGCTGCTCCAGCCCCAGTGTCCAGCCTGGCCTTGGGCACTGCCAGGGATCCAGGGGAATCTGGGAATTCCATCCCAGCCCTGCCCACCCTGCCAGGGAACAATTCCCAATTCCCAATCTCCCACCCAGCCCTGCCCTCTGGCACTGGGAGCCATTCCCCCTTGTTATTATCCCTGGATATTTCAGCTACTGCTGCATTTTTTAATTGCTGGATTCCTGCAATTGGAATGAAAATGTCTCAAATTTCAGGATGCACAGCTGACCCCAACATCTTCCCCTTCTCTTTAACCTATATAGACATTTTTAATAGTTCTGTTAAGTATTTGTTGAATGTGTTGGTGAAAACACAGTACTATGATTAGTACAACAATTATGTTGACTGAAATGTATAAATTAATTTTTAATCTTTTTATTACTTACGATGATAAATTTTATTCATTAAATCAACTATTTAACTAGGTTCTGTTATCAGCTTTAACTTTTGATACACTTTCATTGAGCTGTTTTTGTAACTAGATTCTGAGTGATTAGATAGATTTATATAGTACATTTAAAAAATGTATTATATTATAAAAATATGTATATTATATATTATATATGCATATGTTATATGAATATATTATAATATATAATATATAATATATATTGATGATATATAATATATATTATCCATAATATATTTTATAGTATATATTATATATACATTATATAATATATAATATATAATATATATTGTTGATATATAATATATATTATCCATTATATATATTATGTATATATATTATGTATATATTATATATACACAATATATAATATATAATATGTATATATTATTAAATTTTATATTATAAAATTATAAAATATAATACTTTTGAAAATAAATTTTAAATTTATTAATAATATTTTATATTAGAATACATTTTAAAATATATTTTAAATTGTATTATATTATAAATTATTACTATTTTAATTTATAATGTTGTTTTATTATTTTTTATAATACTATTTTATAATGCATTTTAAAAATAAATTTTAAATTTATTAATATTATTTTGTAATGTAATAAATTTTTAAATTTATTTTTTAAAATTTATTATATTATAACATTAATATTATTTTATAATATTGTTTTGTTGTTTTTATAAAAGAATATATTTCTTAAATTTAAAAATGTATTTGATTATACAATTATTAATATTTTATAAAGTGATTTTATTGTTTTTATAATATTATTTTATAATATAATACATTTAAAAATCTATTCTATTACAAAACGTTCACGTCAGTGTTAATGACAGAAAATCAGCGGTACCCTTGTGTAGCAGGACAGGTGTCTGCAGGCCGGGCGCTCGGTGCCCGCACTGTCCCTGTCCCTGTGTGTCCCCAGGCAGGCGCTGAGCGAGGTGACGGCGGCGCTGCGGGAGCGCCTGCACCGCTGGCAGCAGATCGAGCTGCTCTGCGGCTTCCAGATCGTCACCAACCCCGGCCTGCACTCGCTGGCCTCCGCCCTCAACATCGACCCCGCCTGGATGGGCACGCCCCGGCCCAACCCCTCGCACTTCGTCATCACCGACGACGTGGATGACCTGGACGAGGAGCTGGTGTCACCCATGTCCATCCAATGTACGGGCTCCTGGGGATGGGGGCTCCTGGGGATGGCGGGCTCCCTGGGAATGGGTCAATGGGGGCTCCCTGGGAATGGGGGAACTCCTGGGAATGGGGGCTCTGGGAGCATCTTGGGAATTGGGGAACTCCCTGGGAACAGGGCAGTAGGGGCTCCCTGGGAATGGGGGGAACTCCCTGGGAATGGGGGAACTCCCTGGGAATGGGGGAACTCCCTGGGAATGGGGTAACTACCTGGGAATGGGGGCTCTGGGAGCATCTTGGGAATGGGGGAACTCCCTGGGAATGGGGCAGTGGGGGCTCCCTGGGAATGGGGGAAACTCCCTGGGAATGTGGGAACTCCTGGGAATGGGGGCTCTGGGAGCTCCCTGGGAATGGGGGAACTCCCTGGGAATGGGGCAGTGGGGGCTCCCTGGGAATGGGGGAAACTCCCTGGGAATGCGGCTCTTGGAGTTCCCTGGGAATGGGGGTGCTCCTAGGGAACAGAGGGTTCCTGTGGAATGGAGCACCAGGAGCTCCTGGAGAATCGGGGGGCTCCCTGGGAATGGGGGGAACTCCCTGGGAATGCAGCTCTTGGAGCTCTCCGGGGATGCAGGGGCTCCCTGGGAATGGGGCTCTGGGGGCTCCCTGGGAATGGGACTCTTGAAGCTCCCTGGAAGTGGGGTCTCCCTGGGAATGGGGGCTCTGGGGGCTCCCTGGGAACTGGGGGCTCCCTGGGAACGGGGGCTGTGTCTGCCGGGCTTGGGGGCTGTGGCGCAGAGCAGAGCTGGATCTGTAGTTCACCTGTGTCAGGAGGGGTTAATTGGTCCAGTTTGGGGTTTCCATGCCCAAAGACACAGCTGGTCCATCAGGGTCAGGAACATCCCCAACAGGCCAGGCCCCACTGCTGGGGTTGTCTGCAGCCTGTTAATTCCTGCAGAGCTGGAATTTAGGGATGGTTAGTCATCATTTCATTCTGCCTGTGCTGTTCTGGTCAACTCAAGGATTGAAGCATTTACCAAAACTCCCACCAAAGGCATGGGTGACACAGCAGTGGGACAGGAAAAGGGATTATCCTGATGTCCCCTTGGCCTGAGCACTTTTTTGGGATGTAAAGACTCAAAGCTGCCCTCTCCTGAGGCACAGCTGGACCTGCATCCTGCAGCATTCCGGGTGGGAGCAGCAGTCTGCCAGCCTCGGGGACCTGTCAGACACTCCCTGGAGCAGAGGCTGCCCCAGCTCCAGCTCTGTGCAGGGCTCGGGGTCAGCCAGGGTGGCTGTCCCTCTTTGTTGGTCACTCCCAGGGTGGCTGTCCCTCTTTGTTGGTCACTCCCAGGGTGGCTGTCCCTGCTCTGCCAAGCCCAGAGCGCACGGAGGGAGGGCTGAGCCTGTGGCTCACCCTGTGCCTGTGACCCCCAGCTGCTGAGCTCCTGGGCTGGGTGGCACTGTCACCTCTCTGCAGCGGCCGGGGGTCAGCCCTGGCTGCTGTTCCTGCCTGCAGCTGGCCCAGGTCCTGCCCTGCTTCTCCCAAAAGGGCATTTTCCAAATCGTTTCCCCTTGGGTATTGCAGCAGAGGCTGAGAGAGGTAAAGAGCAGGGGCAGGGCCTGGGGGCACAGGAGCAGCACCGGGCAGGGCACAGCACCCTGATCCAGGCATGTCATGGAATCATGGGATCACAGAGTGGGTTGGCTTGGAAGGACCTTAAAGCCCCTCCAGTGCCACCCCTGCCATGGCAGGGACACCTCCCACTGTCCCAGGCTGCTCCCAGCCCCTGGCCTTGGGCACTGCCAGGGATGCAGGGGCAGCCCCAGCTGCTCTGGGCCACTCTGGATGACTTAGTCCAAGCCAGGGCTGCTCGGGGCAGCAGGAGGGAGGAGCAGAAGGGCCTCAGGGCTGGCACTGTGTGCTGCAGGAGGTGCCCTGTGTGTCCCCCTCAGCCTGGGGCAGGTCCAGGGGCAGGGGCCAGAGGGAGGCAGGGCTTGGAGGCCTTGGTGGGGCAGGAGGAACGGGGTACCTGTGTGTTCCCAGGGCTCTGCAGACGTGGGGGCTGGAGCCACAGTTGTGGCATCAGCTGTGCTTGGGGACACTAAAGCTTCAGGGAAGGGACACATCCTGCTCCTTGTCATTCCGAGTCACCCTCAGAATGGAGCTGGACATCTCTGTCCAGCCCTGGACACTGGTGGCAGTCCCAGGTGACCCCTGAGGACCTCAGCTGGGCCCGGTGTGAGCCTCCAGCCCTGATTTCAGCCTCAGCTTCGTGGCACTTGAGACTCCTTGAGTGAGACATTTCCAGGGAGCACTTCCAGTTCCATCATCAGAGCTGGGCAGAGAGCCTGCCCACCCTCCTGCCCACCCTCCTGCCCACTGCCCTCCCTGCAGTGAAACACCTCAGCAGCACTGGGCACTCCAGTTCCCAAAGCAAGGGAGCCTTTCCCTGTAGGATTTCCTTCCTCTGTGTGCAAACCCTGCCTCAGGAGAGCAGTGCCGAGTTCCTCCTGCCCAGGTGTGTTGCTGAGGGAGGATGTGTGGTGCTTCTCCCAGTAAATGCCATCTCTCTCTCTCCTGTTCCCACCTGGCTGCCCCCCAGATGCAGCCTGGCTTTTCGGGCGCAGGTTCAGCGACCGCTCCTCGCTGTCCTCGGAGGATCAGTCCCTCTGGAAATACCCTGGTTTGGTTCTCTTCAATTTTATTTCCATTTTTTTATTCTGCCTTCTGGCCTTTTTCTGGACTAAAATACATCCACCAGTTTTCCATCTTTCTGGCACGGGAACTAATGAATGTTCTGTCCTCACTGAGCCATCGCCACCTGCACTAACCCCGGGAAGAGTCTGGTGGGATGAAGAAGAATCTCAGCCGCAGCTCCCACGTGTCCTGGGTGCAGTCAGGGAATCTGGGGGGTTGGACTCATTCCATTTCACCCCTGAGCTGGAGATGGAGGGCCCAGTGAGGGCAGGAAGAGGTGACAGCATTCCCTGTCCCATCCCACCTCCTCCCCTGCTGCCCCATCGCTCCCGGCAGTGCTGCTGCTGCCCTGTTCCCTCAGAATCCCCGAGCAGGGATGAACTGAGCAGTGCCAGCCTTAGGGAAACCTGTCCCTGTGTGCCCTGGGGCAGTGCCAGCCTTAGGGAAACCTGTCCCTGTGTGCCCTGGGGCAGTGCCAGCCTCAGGGAAACCTGTCCCTGTGTGCCCTGGGGAAGCCACTCGGCCTCCTGGCCTTCGGAGGGACACAGGAGCTGGATGTGCCGGCCTCGTGCTGGGAGGGCTTTTCCTCGGGGTGCTGGGCAGGGAGTTTGGGGAATGTTGGTAAAATGTGGGTCTGGGAAGCCAGGTCCCCCTCCAGAGTCATGGCAGGGTAAATCTTGGAGAAGGAGATTACAAAGGGGGGAAGTACTGAGTTGGGAAATGAGGGATGGAACACCAGGAAAAAACGGGGAATCCTTAGGGGGAAAAGCATGGCCCAAGGGAAAAAGAAACCTGTAGCAGAAACCCATCACCCCAGTGAGTTACTCTGCAGTCTGATCCCTGTGAACCCTCCACAGTGAGATTCCCAAATTGGAATTGCAGCTCTGGAGCTGAAAAAAAAAAAAAAATCTTGCAATAGAATAGATGGTATAAGATTCCACGTTCATGGATGGACACTGTAGGGAGCAGGGGGCAGTGGGAAAGACTGGGATTCACCTTGGGGCTGTGGAGACAGCCAAGTTGCCAGAATTATTCCTTTTATTCCTTCTTCCACTGGAAATACATCCCCGTGGATCTTTCTGAGTCGTTCTGCCAGAGGAGCCCTGTGTGTCCAGCTGGGATTTTCCAGAGCAGGGATTGCTGGTTCTTCCACTCCCAAAGGAGCTCTCCTCCTCCTCCATCTCTGAGCTTTCCTGTCTCTGCATCTTTTTAACCCATTGGTCCATTCATTTCTTATGCACATAAGAAATCCTGAACACCTTATCTCCTGCCAAGGGAGGCTCATCTTGTATGGGATGGCAGCAGGGGATGGAATACAGCCAGCCTGGCTGGGGATGGGGCTGCAGCCCTGGGATCCCGCTGTCCATGATGGAGGGGAGCATTCCCGAGGCTCCAGGCAGGTGAGGGGGCCTCCCCTGGCTCTGGGGGTGACCCTGGGGACAGGTGTGGGGCAGTGCTCAGGGGCTGCTGAGCTCCAGTTCCAGCCAGGTGTGACCACAGGGCTGGAGAGATCCCGAGGAGCGTTGGAGGCAGGGCAGGAGCTGGGGCTGGGACTCCAAAGGACATTCCCATGTGGTTCCCCAAACCAAGGGCAGCTGACAACCAGAGGAGGATATTTCTCAGGTTGAGGAGGGTCTCTGATCAGTCACAGGTCACGGAACAGGCTGGCAGCAGGCGAGGCCGCTCTGGGGCCACAGTTCAGGCATGGGGGAATCAGGAGTGAATCCCAGAAAGTCTGGGTTGGGAGCGACCCCAAATCCCACCCAGTGCCTGTCCTGCCATGGCAGGGACACCTCCCACTGTCCCAGGCTGCTCCAGCCCCAGTGTCCAGCCTGGCCTTGGGCACTGCCAGGGATCCAGGGGCACTGCCAGCTGCTCTGGGCACCTGTGCCAGGGCTGCCCACCCTGTCAGGGAACAATTCCTGCCAAATATCCTCAACCCAAATATTTTCAACCAAACAGGGAACTTCCCCATCCCTGGCAGTGTCCAGGGCCAGGTTGGACACTGGGGTTGGAGCAGCCTGGGGCGGTGGGAAGTGTCCCTGCCATGGCAGAGGTGGGAAGAGATGATCTTTAAGGTCCCTCCTGCCCAACCCAATCCCTGTATGATTCCATGCTGCCACTGCTCTGCTCCTGGTGCTGCCCCCACATAGTGAACCGAGCAGAGCTTCAGGTGCCAGCACTGCCCTGCTCACCTGGGGCTTCTGCTTTGGGTTTGAAGGTCCCACCCAGGCAGCAGGACTGGGACCATGAGATGTCTGTGAGGGTGGAAAGGCCCTGGAAATGCCCGGTTTGGGCTCTCCAGGAGCCGGGTGGTGGCTCCAGGTGGGATGAATCACACAGCCGCTCTCTGCGTCAGGCAAGATGCTCAGATAAGGTGTTCAGAGGCACCTGCATCACCAATGCTGGAGTTTTCCATGGGCTGGGCATTAATCCAGCATGTTCAGCACCAGCTTAAAGCTGCTTCTGCATTAAACAGGCCTTAACTGCTGGCAGGAGGTGGGACAGTGCTGGTGGCACAGGGGACAGTGGGATGGTGCTGCTGGGATGGTGTAATTGGGATTGGGATGGTGCTGCTGGGATGGTGCCAGTGGGATTGGGATGGTGCTGCTGGGATGGTGCCAGTGGGACAGGGGTGGTGCCAACGGGATGGTGCTGCTGTGCTGGTGCCAGGGCTGGTGGAGCTCCGCAGGCTGGGTCAGTCTCTCCTGGTGGAGCTCCACAGGACAGGCCATGCCCTCGCTCTCTGCTGGCGGAGCTCCGCGGGCCAGGCCGTGCCCTCGCTCTCTCCAGTCGGAGCTCCGCGGGCTGGGTCACTCTCTCCTGGTGGAGCTCCGTGGGCCGGGCCGTGCCCTTGCTCTCTCTTGGTGGAGCTCTACAGGCTGGGTCACTCTCTCCTGGTGGAGCTCCACAGGCCAGGCCATGCCCTTGCTCTCTCTTGGTGGAGCTCCACAGGCTGGGTCGTGCCCTCGCTCTCTGCTGGCGGAGCTCCGCGGGCCAGGGCGTGCCCTCGCTCTCTGCTGGCGGAGCTCCGCGGGCTGGGTCACTCTCTCCTGGCGGAGCTCCGCAGGACAGGCCATGCCCTTGCTCTCTGCTGGCGGAGCTCCGCGGGCCAGGCCGTGCCCTCGCTCTCTGCTGGCGGAGCTCCGCAGGCTGGGTCACTCTCTCCTGGTGGAGCTCCGCGGGCCAGGCCATGCCCTCGCTCTCTCCAGTCGGAGCTCCGCGGGCCGTGCCGCGCCCTCACTTTCTCCCGTGTGTCGTTGCAGCTCCGGCCTTGCCCAGCTCAGTCCGGCAGCGCCTGGTGGAGCCGCAGCACGGCCACGGATCGCAGAGGTTGGTAGAGAGTGTCGTGCCGGGGCAGCCCGAGGCGGGCCCCGTGGCCCCGCTGCGGGCGGGCCGAGTGTCCCTGCGCCGAATGCACAGCCTCAGCTCCGGACAGTCCTTCAGCTCCGACCTGCCCGGCTCCAGCCCATCGCCTGCCTCCACCTCCACCTCCTGCTCTTCATCCACCACCACCGCACCTGCTCCTGCTTGCCATGTCCACCCTATCTATTACCATCACACCACCTCTTATTTCCTCCAGATGGATTCCATCCCCGACCTGCCCCCTCCTGATGTCACCTCTGGAGTTCGCTGTCGCACTGGGAGCTTTGGGTATATTGCTGTTTCTTTTCTAGCTGCCTCCTGCCTGCCGTTCCTCAGAGCTGATGCTTGCTGGGTGCTCTTTCTCTCACGTTCCTTCTGCCCTTTTCTTTTGGGCCTTCGTTCCGTGATTTTTCCGCTTTTGTTCCTTCCGCTGCTCTCCCGAGCCGCTGGAGCCTCTAAGGAGGATTCCGTGGGCCATCCCCATGCCCACGAGCTCAGTTTGGGGCATTCCCAAGGTGCTCTGGTGGTCTTCTACTGCAGCTGAGCAAATGAGAATTCCCAGGTGCTCGGTATTCCCTAAATGGGGGGATATGAGGAGGCAACAGAACTGATCACCAAACCTGGCCTGATTTGAAGCCTGGATCTCTTGGGGTCCTCAGGAGTGAATTGCAAAGGGAAGATGATGGGTGGGGACCACGAGGTAGCAGTTGGAGAAATTTGGGATTGTTTTCAGAGGTGCTAGAGCGGCAGTTCAGGAATGTGTTCTGGAGTGGTTCTGCCTCTGCTCTGGTAGGGATGAGGAATGGGGATGTTTTGGCTAAGGAATGTGAGGAGGGAGTTGGAGCTGCTTTTGTTGGCTTTAGCTTGGTCCCTTTCAGTGGGATCTTTGGAGAGCTGGCACACCCTGGGGACTGGTTATCCTCCATCCCTCAATCCCAGAGCTGTCCCAGCTCACAGAGCTGCTGACAGGGAGGAGCAGGAATCCTGGGGTGGCTTTCACCCGAGTGACATCCCTGTCCTCATGCCCCGGGGTCAGGGGTGCAGCCAGTCCCAGGGTGTTGTGTCCCTGTGGGATCTCCGTGGGGCAGTGGGATGTGTGCTCGTGGCCTCAGGTGTCCCAGGCACTCCGTGCAGGCAGTGGGAAGGCTGTGATGGACCAGGGAATCCTGTCCCTGCCAGGTCATTCCATCTCTGTTCCATGCTTTCTCCATGGCAAAATTAAAACCATCTGCTGATCCTCGGTACTGGGGAGCAGACTGCTGGGAGAAGGCTGGGAGTCCCTAGGTGAGGCAGAGGAGAGGGGAAATGTCCTTCCACACCATTTCTCCAGGCAGGGAAACATTCCCAGTCACCACATCCTCACCCGTGGCAGCATGGTGTGCTGGGATCTCTCCTGGCCGTGTTCGCAGGCTCTGGTGTGGATGTTGCACCCCCTCCCTGCCCCGTGTGTCCCCGAGCTGAGCAGCCCCAGGCACATCCTGCAGTCTGGAATACCGAGGGGGAAATGGCTGCACCTGCTCCACAATGGAGAGTTAAAGAGCAGCATCTCAGTTAATTCAGTGATGGCTGGTTGGGGATGATGAGAAGCAGTGTAATTAATTAACTCCTGCCAGCGGGAGCTCAGCTGCAGCTGTCCCAGTTTGACTGGTAAAAGCTGGGAATGCTGCTGGCCCCTGCTTCCCTTGCCTCCCTGCAGGAGGGAGCCTGGGGCTCATGTCCTGTCTCCAAAACAGCTGTTGAAATGTGATTTATTCCCACTGAGGCCCATGACACGTGGAATTCCTGCCCGGGATAGAGCCCGATCCCTGCAGACCCCTGAGAAGGGCAGAGGGAGACAGGATCCAGTGTGGGACCCCAGGGAGGGAAGGGGACAGTGGCAGAGGTCCTTAGGAGGGAGTGAGTGGGTCAGAGCCCAGCTGGTCACCCCTGGGTGCCAGCGGGACAGTCCTGGCCCTGCTCCCGTGGCAGGAGAGGCGATGGGGTCAGAACCTCCCCGCTGGGCTTTGCTGCAGCTGCAGCACAGCAGGCAGCAGCAGAAATGAAGAGTTGGGCACCCAAAGACGTGGGTTTGTGGTGTGCTGATGGTTGTTTCACCCAGCTGCATCACCAGCAGACCCTGCTTTGATGCGTCCCTAAAAGCGCCGCTGCCGGGCCTTGGATTGCTGCTCCTCCTTGACAGCCCCGGCCCCGGAGGCCTTTCCTGACACCCCTCAGCCTCTGGGGGGCAGGCAGGACAGTGGGGAGCCTCAGAAGGGCCTTCAGGGAGCCACTGCAGGGAGCAGAGCCCCAGAGAGCCCTGGTGCCACCCCGGTGGCTGCTGGAGCCTCCCCAGAGCCGGCAGAGCCAAGGCTGGGCAGAGCTCGTGGGAGAAGCTCTCCGAGGAGCTGCCCCCGAGCCAGCGGGCTGGGGATCGCTGTCTCCAGAGTCCTGCCCGGCTTTCCTGGCAGGGAGCTGCTCCCTCACCTCCTCACTCTCTGCTTCTCTTTTGCAATTGGCTTCAGAGGATCCGGCGCCAATAAGGTCAGAGCGGGTCCGGGCTCGGGGGGTCCCCGGGGGGAGAGGGGCTGGAGGGGCTGCGTGTGCACAGAGGTTTCTGCTGCCAGTGCCTGCCTCAGCGGGGTGAAACCCATGGGGATGGGAGTGAGCACCCAGTGCCCGTGCCCAGGCCCTTCTCGGCCAGGAAGGGAGGCGGCAGCCACAGCTCAGGGAAGGGAGAGTCAGCAATCCAGGGAAATGAGTAACTCACAGCTCTCGCAGGCTGGAAGGCAGCAAGCTGCTGCTGGGTCTTCTTGAGGCTCAGCCCCACAGCAAATTTGGGAGTTTGCCTTAAGAAAAGCCTTGGTCCCTGGTGCCGCAGGCACGGAGCCCGGCAGCCGAGGGTCTCCTGAGGCAGCCGGGGCTCTGTGGCTGCTGGAGCACACCCAGGGCAGCTCTGAGCCATGCCGGGCTGCACCCCAGTGGGGACACCCAGAGAAATCCCTCATGGGCTGCAGGGCTGGGGAAAACCAGGTGTTGGTTCTCCATCCTCCCCCTGCTCCTCCCCGCTCCCCCTCCACTCCCAGGCTTCCTGTACTCCAGGCTTTCCTTATTCCATGCTTTGCTCTCTGCTGCTTCTGTTCACCATCCCCATCTCCTCACCCTCTCTCTCTCCCAGATCCTGGTGGGGTGGGCGAGAGGCAGGGGGAAGCAGATCCATCCTGGGGTGGGCGGGAGGCAGGAGGAAGCAGATCTGTCCTGCCTTAGGCAGCTGAGTGCTGGCAGGGCCGCTCTGTGCAGCTGCTGGAGATCCTGGATCCGTGGGAAAGAGCAGGGAGCACTGCTGGCACGGGGGAGGGCTCCCAGGTATTTCCCTGTCCAGTTGCTGCTCTGTGGTTTCCAGGAGGGATGAGCTCCAGGGGCTCCTGCTGCTCTGCAGAAACTCTTCCTGGGATCCCTTCCTGGGATCCCATCAAGGCCAGCCTGTCCTGGGATAGCTTTTCCTCTTGACAGTGTGCCAGAACAGTTCAGGAGCATAATCCTCATGGAAATCAGTGGCTGAGCCCCAGCTGGGATGATGGCAGCATCCTGGGAATGCTCTTTCCTTCCTCTGGACTCAGGAGTGCCCACTCCTTGCTGCCTGTGACCCAGCCCGTGTGACCCCAGGAATCTGTCCCGCTGTTGTGCACTTGCTTGTGGGAACCAGCAGGAAAAGGCTCTTTGGGGCTGAAGAAAACCCCGCAAGTTCCTGGCTGTGTGTGTTCAGCTCCCAGAATCAGCCCGTGGGTGCCACAGTGGGAATGCAGGAGGTGTCTGTGCCTGTGCCAGGTGTCCCTTGCGATGTCCCTGGCGTGGTGGGTGTCTCCTGTGTGCCAGGATGTCCCTGGAGCCTGGCACAGCGGGGTGGGCACTGCTGCTGTCACCAGCTCTGCCCTGTGTCCCTCAGGAATATGGGACTGTGCATGAGCAGAGTAGGAATATTCAGGAATGGTGTGCTCCTGCCCATCAGCTCCTTCAGGGGTGAGCCCAGAGGATGACCTGGGGCTCCAGGGAGGTGGAACCGCTGTGGTGCATCCCCTGCAGGGCCGAGGATCCCAGAGAACAGCCACCCAGGAGAGGGGACAGGCCCTGTGCTGCAGGCAGGCAGGATGTCCCGGGAGGTGACACAGTGGGAATGCTGCTGGTGGTGTCACCGGGGCCCTGTCCTGGGATCGGGTTCCCAGCGCCTGCTCTCGGGGCAGAGAGCCCTCCTGGAGCAGAGCCTGCCTGTCCCTATCTGCACACGCTGCAGGGCTGCATTGGTCCCTGCTGCATTGTACCTGCCAGCCCTGGGGAGAGGAGCAGCTCTGGAGCCCAGCGAGGAACGCTCACCCTCTTCACACATCCTTGGAGTCTCCTCAGTTGGAAAAGTCCATTTTCTCCTGCGTTTACTGCCCTCTTGCTGTGTGAAAGGGTTTGTAGCAGCGACCCTCAGCCGGCTCTGTGCCCGTGGGGCTGTGGCAGCCAGAAGGGAAGGAAGGGTTGGATCTGCTGGAGGAGAAGATCCTGTGGTGGAGCTGGGACGCTGTGCCCCATCCCCAGCCAGGCCTGGGGGGTCCCTTGGGGCTCTCCCACCTCCTCCATGACCCGAGTCCAGAGTGGACACTGCGTTCCTGCCAGGACCTGGCACTGGCTCTGAGCAGCACTGTTCCCTGCCAAGGTCCTGCCCCACAGCCCTGCTGGGACCCCGGGCTGGTGCCAGCCCCTGCAGCCAAAGGCTGCTTGGTTCTCCTGCAAAGGGGCACTTCCCAGGGATTTCTGCAGGAAATAAACCTCCAGAGTGGGTGTTCTACCCTGCTGGCACCTCAGCAAGGGCTCAGCATGTGCAGGTGGGGGATGGTGCCACCGTCCCTGGGAGAGGAGTGTCCAGGCTGGAATTCCCAGCAGGAATTCCCCTTTGCAGGTGTGGTAAGCCCTGAGTGAGACACATCTGGGAAGAGCAGGAGATTCCTGAATTCCTTGAAGGAGCTGGAGGCTGCGATGGCAGTGACATTCCATCTGCAGGCACTGGCAGCATGCTGAGGTGTCCCAGCCTGGGCGTGTGGGTGTGTGTGCAGGTTTTGGGGTGGGCTCCAACACCCCGAGTTCAGCCCCACTGTGTTCCACGGCTGCTCCCCAGTGACCCCAGTGACACCGTGGTGGTGACCTTCTGCAGTACCCGCTGGTGGCTCCACAGGTGTGGTGGTGGCAGTTGTGTCCCCAGCAGGGCTCCAGCTGCTCACAGGATGAGCTGGGATTCCATTCACGCCGTTGGATCGCTCCGTTCTCGGCGGCTCACCCGGGATGCGCCGTGGCACTGGGACAGGGACAGTGCCAGCAGTGCCCAGGGCTCTGTGCTGCTGGGAAGAGGAGAGCTGAGGTGTTCTGCACAGCTGGGCTCCCCCAGGAGATGCAGGGCTGAATGCCAGGCACCCACAGGATCCCCTTCTCCTCTGTGCCTTCGCTGGAGCTGCTGAAGGAGGGCCTGGCTTTGTTCCATGGGCTCTGTTAGAGAAATGCTCTTGTTCAGCACGAGGAGAACGTTCTGGGCCTGTCCAGGCTGCCCGTGCCAGAACACCAGCGTGTGCCATCAGCTTGTGGAGAGCAGCAGGGAGTGCCTTCCTCAGGAGCCAGGACTGGCAGTGGCACTGGGAAATGTCTTTGTTGGTGACAGGGACACAGGCCCAGGGCAGCCCCGCAGCTGGCAGGGACACGGAGCTGTGGGCACACACCGCAGGGAAGGCACGGGGCACCCAGGGGCACCTGGACAGGCTGAGAGCTGGCACCGTGCCACCTCCTGCAGCTCTGCAGGACCAAGGACAAGGTCCTGCAGCTGGCTCGGGGCAATCCCAGCACAGACAGCCCAGGAGAAGGGACTGGGAGCAGCCCTGGGGAGCAGGAGCCGGGCATTGGTGGGAGAAGCTCCACAGGCCCTGGCCACGAGCACTGGGACCCGAAATCCCTGTGCCCTGGGCTGATCCCACAGTGTGGGCAGCAGGAAAGGGATTGGGATTGTGCCCCTGAGCCCGAGCCCACCTGCAGAGCTGCCCCAGCCCTGCCCCAGCCCAGGGTGGAGCTGGAGCTGCTGCAGAGAGCCCAGAGGAGGCTCCAGGATGAGCAGAGGGATGGAGCAGCTCTGCTGGGAGGAAAGGCTGGCACAGCTGGGATTGTTCCCCTGCACAGGAGAAGCTTTGGGCTGAGCTCAGGGTGGCCTTGCAGGGCCTGGAGGAGCCCCAGGAAACCTGGAGAGAGACAATTTCCAGGGCAGGGAGGGACAGGAGCCAGGGAATGGCTCCCACTGCCAGAGGGCAGGGCTGGGTGGGAGATTGGGAATTGGGAATTGTTCCCTGGCAGGGTGGGCAGGCCTGGGATGGAATTCCCAGATGTCCCTGGATCCCTGGCAGTGCCCAAGGCCAGGCTGGACACTGGGGCTGGAGCAGCCTGGGACAGTGGGAGGGTCCCTGCCATGGCAGGGGTGGCACTGGGTGGTCTCACGGTGCCTTCCCACCCAAACCAGTCTGGGATCCCTGAAATCTCTGCGGCCCTGCCTGGCTGGCTCCAGCTCTGTTCAGGTTTTCCCTTGCCAGTCTCTGCGGGTGCCTCCAGGCCAATGGTGGTGGTGGTACCATAGGAGATGACCTGGGGGTTGGGGCAGTGCCAGGCAGGTTTGGTGACCATGTGCAGGGTCTGTGCCAGGAGCAGGGATCAGGGGGGCTCCGGGGCAAGGGCCAGGTCAGCACCTCCCATCTCTCCTCACCCCCTTTCGCTGTTCCTCCCCGGCTCCTTCCCTCTCCATGCCCTCCCATCCCGCTGTACCCGCTGTGCGTGGGGCAGGGCCGGGCCCCTCGCCCCATCCCTTTGCTGTGGCACCCCTGGGGAGCGCCGGGGCAGGGGGAGCAGCCATCCAGCCGGAGGAGCAGCTGTGACTTGTCATTTCCCTCTGGCCTGCCCTCCTCGCAGGGAGCCCGGCCCCGGTAGGCACAGGCTGGGCACAAACCCGGGCGGCGGCGGCGCTGGGCACGGCTCCGTGCGGGCTCGGGGGGCTCGGGGGGCTCGGGGGGCGCGGGCACACACGGATGTGGCGAGGGCTGAGGGACCCTCCGGGGAACCGGGGGGACACCCGGCTTGGGGCCAGATGGGAGCGCTCCGGCCCCCTGGATCCGGGGGGGGGAACGGATCCCATCCTGGAATGAGGGATCCCATCCCGGAATGAGGGATCCCATCCCAGAATGAGGGATCCCTCTGGGATCCTTGGGGAGGGACCGATCCCATTCCAGAATGAGGGGATCCCCCAGGATCCATGGGGAGGGACGGATCCCATCCTGGAATGAGGGATCCCGTCCTGGAATGAAGGATCCCATCCCAGAATGAGGGATCCCAGTCCAGAATGAGAGATCTCTCTGGGATCCGGGGGGAGGGACCAATCCCATCCCAGAATGAGGGATCCCATCCTGGAATGAGGGATTCCATCCTGGAATGAGGGATCCCATCCCGGAATGAGAGATCTCTCTGGGACCCATGGGGAGGGACAGATCCTATCCCAGAATGAGGGATCTCTCTGGGATCCTTGGGGAGGGACGGATCCCATCCTGGAATGAAGGATCGCATCCCACCCAGAATAAGGGATCCCATCCCGGAATGAGAGATTTCTCTGGGACCCATGGAGGGGGACCGATCCCATCCCGGAATGAGGGATCCCATCCCGGAATGAGGGATCCCCCAGGATCCATGGGGAGGAACAGATCCCATCCCGGAATGAGGGATCCCCCAGTATCCATGGGGAGGAACAGATCCCATCCCAGAATGAGGGATCCCCCGGGATCCCTGGGGAGGGATGAGCCTATTTCCCGGTTCCCTGTCCCCGCTCCCTCAGCTCCCAGGTGAGCCCCGGCCCGGGCATCCCTGGCATTGAGGGGCAGAGCCGGGGGTGGGCAGGGCTCTGTGCCAGCCTCTCCGGGTCCCGGGGGTGCCCTCGCCCCTCAGCCGCTGCTGCCATCCGTGTGTGCGGGCCGTGCCGAGCCGGGCCGTGCCGTGCCGGGACTGACCGTGTCTCGCTCTCCACCGCAGAGATTTAACTCGCTGCGACTCCGACTCCTCCATCCCGCACCTGAGCGAGCAGCAGCGTGTCCCCAGCCCGGCGCCCAAGCTGCTGGCTGCCCGGCCCGCGCTGCTGAGCCGCTCCGTGGAGGAGAATGTCCCCGCGGGCCCCGCCGCGCCCACCCCCAACGGCGGCGGCCGCCACGGGGAGCCCCCCGCCCTGGCGGCCCTGCAGGAGCGCCCGCCCGAGAGCCCCATGGCGATGAAGAAGATGATGATGGTGAACCACGGCATGGAGAAGTCCTCCAGCCTGGGGGAGATCAGCCACCCGGCGGCCGGCAAGCCCAGCCACTCGGATTCGTCGCGGTCGCACAGCCCCAGCTCCACCGAGCCCGACACCCCCTCCCCCATCTCTGACTGCCGGCCCGGCGGCGCCCGCAACACCCGCATCCCGCAGCTGGCCGCCAAGAAGAGCCCGGGGGACGAGGACAGCAGCCTCACGGGCGACGAGGTTGACCTCGGCCAGAGCAAGAAAAAGTTCCCCCTAAAGATCTTCAAGAAGCCCAAGAAGTAGGGGGGGACCCCTCCGGACGCGTCCGGCCGAGCACCGGGAGCGCAGCGCGGCCCCGGCAGCCCCGAGCCCCCAGCCCGGCACGGAGGAGCTGTTGAAACGTTTAAACTTATTTATTTCCTCATCTCCGAGACGAGAAGCGCGCCGCCTCCCCGCGGGGAGAGCCGCCCCTGCCCTCCCTCGGACCGGCCCGGCTTCGCTGTGCATGGCTTCCAGTTACTCCTGCTCCGCTCAGCCACGCGGCCTTTGCGTTTGGTTTCAATGTGGTTTTAGTTTTTTTTTTATTTGATTTTGTTTTTTATTGTTGTTATTAATTTGTTTTCCTGCCTCCTCCAACTTTTGCACAGGCCGAGGGAGGGTCGGGGCGGCGCCGGCCGCTCCCCCCGGGGTGACTCCGGCGGTTCCCCCTCGTTTCTCCGAATCCCTTTTCCAGCCCTGCGGCCCCGGGAAGGGGATCCCTGGCTGGGGAGCGGGAGCAGGAGCTGCCCTGGCCGGTACCGGTGTGCTCCGGGCTGTCCCCGCACTGCTCTGCCCCTGGGACGGACACACGGCCGGAGCAGCCCATGCCCGTCCTGCCTTTACTTCCCCGGGCACCCTCCGCTGTGCCCCGTGCCCAGCGACAGGGACAGAGAGGGAAGCGCCATCCCGAGGGGTGCTGGGGCAGAGCCAGTCCGGCCGCCACATCCACACGGACAGGAGAGGAGGAGGAGAGGAGCAGGGCAGCCCCCGTGTCCCCTGCGCAGGGCCAGAGGGAGGGACCAGGCCAAGCGGGGCTCTGCAGGGCAGGGGCAGGCTGTGCCCGGCTGGCAGGACCTGGCAGTGCCCCCTGGACCCGCCGGTGCTGGGGCTCTGTGCCCCCAGGGACGCAGGAGGCTCAGGCAGTGCCCCCCGATCCCACAAACCGGGGTGTCCCTGGCTGTGCCAGCCCCACCCGGGGCTCTCCGATCCTCCCTCGGCACACTGTGGGTCACATCCTGCTGCTCACAGCCCCGCGGTGTCCCCAGCACAGCCCCGGCCCCACTCGGGGCGAGTCCCGCTGCCATCCCGAGGGCTGAGCCCTGCCCCAGCCCGGGGCTGAGCCCTGTCCCCCTCTCCAGCCCCTCCAGGAGCAGCCCCGGGGCTGCAGGGGAGCCCCCAGACCCCCTCCCACCCCCCTGGAGCCCCCGGCCCAGGGTCCCTGTCCCCACCATCGCACACATCCCTGGGGTGGGCAGGGGCTGCTGCCGAGGCAGAGGAGGAGGAAGAGGAGGCCGAGAGCCCCCGGGGCCTTGCTTTATGCCAGAGTAATATATTTGTGTCTTGACAATTCAGGAAGGGCTACAAAGGTGTTTTTTGTTCCGTAGGTGGGAGTTCATTTCACTGTTGCTTTGGGATAACTGAAAAATTCCTCTCAATGACTTTTAAGTGCCTGCATTTCCCTGGGGACGGGGGGACGCGCTCGGCCCCACAGCCGGGGCTGCTGCCTGGGCACCCCGATTCTGTGGGCACCCTGATTCGTGGGCACCTCAATCCTTGGGCACCCTGATTAATGGGCACCCCAATTCGTGGGCACCCCAATTCTGTGGCCACCCCAAACCATGGGCACCCCGATTAATGGGCAGCCCAATTCATGGGCACCCCGATTTGTGGGCACCCTGATTTGTGGGCACCCCAAACCATGGGCACCCCGATTAATGGGCACCCCAATTCGTGGGCACCCCAATCCGTGGGGCACCCCTCTGTCACGGGCAGGGCCCCCCAGGAGTGGGGCCAGCGGGGTCAGGGCTGGAGCTGCTTGTGGTGGCAGAGAGCTGTGGATGCTTCTGGAGAAGGGGTTGGGGATCCACCAAACCGCAACTGTTGACGCATCTGCCAACTCTTGATTTAAGGTGGTTTTTTGTTTTTTTGTTTTTTTGTCATTTCATAAAACTTTTCAATCCAATAAAGCATGTAGTCTATTTTACGAGCTGCTGGCTGCTGCTCCCTTCTTGCAGCCCTCCCCAGGCCTCAGTGGGGTTGGGGCTCTGGTACCAGCCGGGCTGGGGGACGGCGGTGGCACAAGGGGAGCAGCTCCCATCCCGTGGGATGTGCCCCCGTGTTCCTCCTCTGGGCACTGACATCTCCTCCTGCACACCCACCCTGCCTCACCTCCAGCCTGCTCAGGGCAGCTGCTGCTGCTCCCTGCAGCCCCACTGCCCGGGTTTGCGCTGAAATCACATTTTACAGGGCAGAAATCCTCCAAAATCACATTTTACAGGGCAGAAATCTGCTGAAATTACATTTTACAGGGCAGAAATCTTCTGAAATTACATTTTACAGGGCAGAAATCTTCTGAAATTACATTTTCCAGGGCAGAAACCCACTGAAATCACACTCTCCAAGGTAGAAATCCACTGAAATCACACTTTCCATGGCAGAAGTCCCCTGAAATCACATTTCCAGGGCAGAAACCCCCTGAAATCACACTTTCCAGGGCAGAAATCCCCTGAAATTACACTTTCCATGGCAGAAATCCTCCTTCCCGAGGCCTCCCAGGGCCTCTCCAGGGCACAGCTCCCGCACAGCCTTCGGGCTCACTCCAACCCCGCAGCTTCTGGGGGGCCTCCTCGTTAGCCCGGCGCTCATTAGCGCTCATTAACATTCATTAGGGCCGGCTGCCCCCATGGGGGCACCAGGGAACCCCCAGAGGGCTCTGGCAGCACCAGGCAGGGCTCAGGACATGGGGACAGGGCTCAGGATATGGGGACAGGGCTCAGGATATGGGGACAGGGCTCAGGACACGGGGACAGGGCTCAGGATATGGGGACAGGGCTCAGGATACGGGGACAGGGCTCAGGATATGGGGACAGGGCTCAGGACACAGGGACAGGGCTCAGGACATGGGGACAGGGCTCAGGATATGGGGACAGGGCTCAGGACACGGGGACAGGGCTCAGGACATGGGGACAGGGCTCAGGACATGGGGACAGGGCTCGGGATATGGGGACAGGGCTCAGGACATATGGACAGGGCTCAGGACACGGGGACAGGGCTCAGGACATATGGACAGGGCTCAGGACACGGGGACAGGGCTCAGAACAGGGGGACAGGGCTCAGGATATGGGGACAGGGCTCAGGACACGGGGACAGGGCTCAGAACAGGGGGACAGGGCTCAGGATATGGGGACAGGGCTCAGGACACGGGGACAGGGCTCAGGACACGGGGACAGGGCTCAGGACACGGGGACAGGGCTCAGGACATGGGGACAGGGCTCAGGACATGGGGACAGGGCTCAGGGCTTAAGTGCCCGAGAGCATCTGGTTGTTCCTAAGTCTTTGCTTTTTATTGTCTTGCAATTGTCCTAACTGTAAATTTTATTACTCTAATTGTATTGCTATTTTTATAACCATTTTATTATTATTAAACTTTTTAAATTGTAAAATCCAAGTGGCGTTTTTCACAGGAGAGAACTTTCTGTCATTTCAGCTCCTTCCCTGCTGCTCCTGGGCCCTGGGCCAGAGGCTGAGGCAGAGCCTCAGATTGTTCCTGCGCAGTTGTTCCTTGGGCAGTGGGACCCGGAGTTTAATCACCCATTTCACGCCTGGGCCTTGATTTGGGATAATTGCAATTAGCACAGTCAGTGGTGGCGTTTCGGCACGAAGGTGTTTTGTCCCTTGGCGGGCCCTGTCTTTGGCGCCCTCGGCCCCGTCCTGTCCCTCCGGCTCCGCCCCCGCCGGGCGGGCGGGAGCGCTGCCGCCGCCATCTTTGAAGCGGGCGGGATTCGCGCCGTTCCCCGGCGGGGCGGCGATTCCCGTGGGGAAAGCGGGGACAATATCGGGATGAGGGCTGCGATCGGTGTCCGCCGGCGGCCACAGGCGGCGCCGGGAGCGGGGCGGGGCGGGAAGGGGCAAGGCGGAGTGGGGGGGCCGTGCCCGGAGGGAAGATGGCGGCGGCGGCCTCAGTGGGGCGGGGCGCGCGCGGCGGGCGCGGGAAGCGGCGGGCGCGGAGGGACCGGGAGGGACTGAGGGGATTGAGGGGGTCTGAGGGGATTGAGGGGGACTGAGGGGTCTGAGGGCGCCGAGAGGCACTGAGGGGCACCCGCCGCCGCCGCCATGCACGTCGTGAAGCGAGGTGAGTGCTCCCGCCGCCCCGGGGGTCCCGAGTGTCGGGGATGAGGGGGCTCTGCCCTGCCCAGGGCACCGCGGTGTAGAAATGGGGTCCCTGCGCCCTTCTGGGGTTCCCCCTGCTGTGGGGGTCCCTGGCGTGGAAATCCCCCTGTTCTGGAGCGATCCCTCATGGTACGTTGGGGGGGGTCCGCCTCAGCTTTGGGGGTGCCTTGTGAGGGGGGATTAGACGACCCTTGGCCCTGGGGGTGCCCCTCTCTTTTAAGGAAGTCCTGCATGGGAGGACGGGCTCCCCGGGGCTCTGGGGGAGCCCAGAGTGAGAGAGCTGCCCCGGACACCCGCCCTGGAACTGGGGTGGTGCAGTTTTGGTTGGGATTTCCTGGGCTGGAGGGGGAGCGTTCCCTTTCCTTGTACCAACCCAGCACCTTGTGCCGCGGTGATCCCCACAGCGAGCTGTGCTAAGGGAGGGCTGCGCTGGGCTGCATGGTGGGGCTGGGCAGGGGCGTTCTGTGCTGAACTGGTTCTTACTGGGGCATTCTGTGCTGAACTGGTTCTTACTGGGGTGTTCTGTGCTGAACTGGTTCTTGCTGGGGTGTTCTGTGCTGAACTGGTTCTTACTGGACTGCACTGGGGCTGCCCTGTGCTGCACTGGGGCTGCCCTGTGCTGCCCTGTGCTGCCCTGTGCTGCACTGGGGCTGCCCTGTGCTGCCCTGTGCTGCATTGGGGCTGCACTGGGGCTGCCCTGTGCTGACCTGTCTCTCGCTGTGTGCTGTGCCCCGTGTCCCAGACGGCCGCCAGGAGCGGGTCATGTTTGACAAGATCACCTCACGCATCCAGAAGCTCTGCTACGGCCTCAACGCTGACTTTGTGGATCCTGTGAGTGCCCCTGCCCTGCCCTGCCCTGCTCCTGCCCTGGTCCCTGCTCCTGCTGGCCAAAGCTGGCTGGAAACGCAGGCAGGAGCTCCCGGGGTGTCCTGTGGGGGCTCTGGGGGTTCCTGGGTGTCCCCTCCCAGCCAGCACATCCTGTGGTTCCCTCAGCTCTCAGCAGACACATCCAGAATGGGTTTGTGGCCATTGTTTGTGCTCTGAGGGGTTTTACTTCCCAGGTGCAGAGGCTGTGGAGGGGAGAATCCCCCTTCCCTGCCATGGATCCCGTTCTCCTCAAACCTTGGGGAAGCCATTGAGCCCCTGGCAGTTAACAAAACAAGTTGTGTTGCTCCAATTCCCGTAGTTTGGATTTGGCAGGCTGCTCCCGGTGTCAGTCTGCAAAGCTGGAGCTCTGGATCCCCTCCTGGTCAAACACCAGGACAGAATTCCATGCCATTGCCACATCCTTGCTTGGTTTCCTGAGCTGATTTGGGGTGGGCATTGATCCCACTCATGGAAGCTTCTCCTTCCAGAGCCTGTGACTCCCCGTTGGATCCACTGACGTCTGTAGGTTTTTAGGCAGGTTTCAGACCCAGCTTGGCCATTTGGAGTCACCAGTTAAGGCTCTTCCCATGTCCCAAGTTCTCATGATCCATTCTCCTGCCTGAAATCCCACCCATCACACAGTTGCCATTGGTCCTGTACCCAAAAGTCGTAGGGATGGATGGCAGGAGGAGGACACTGGTGACCACAGTTTGAAGTGCCTTGACTGGGAGTTGATGCTGAGGACAGAAGTGACATTCCGAGTCCTTGTGCCCCTGAATTCTTATTCATTCTGCAGTTGTGTGTGAGCTCTTTTCCTGGAGCTCAGTTTCTCCTTTGGGATTTGGATCTTTTTGTGCCAGAAGCTTCCCAGGCCAGCAGTAACCCTCCCAAACCCTGTGGTAACGTTCCCTGCAAGGCTGTGAATCCCATGAGTTGTGCAAGAGTAGCAGCAGTTCATAAAGGTTCTGCAGAGACCGGCCAGTCCTGCCTGGAAACCATCATTACACGGGGTCCCAGAAGGGTTTGGGGTGGGAGGGAGCCCAAATCCCACCCAGGGACACCTCCCACTGTCCCAGGCTGCTCCAGCCCCAGTGTCCAGCCTGGCCTTGGGCACTGCCAGGGATCCCGGGGAGTCTGGGAATTCCATCCCAGCCCTGCCCACCCTGCCAGGGAACAATTCCCAGTCTCCCACCCAGCCCTGCCCTCTGGCACTGGGAGCCATTCCCTGGCTCCTGTCCCTCCATCCCTGTCCAGGAGCATTCCCAGCTCTCCCAGTCTGGTGTTGCAGTTCGCTCTGCTCCTCCCGCACAGCGAGGGGTGCTGTGGGTGCTGGGGCTCCCTGGCAGTGCTGGGGCTCCCTGAGCTGGGCATTTCCCTCCTGCAGGCGCAGATCACCATGAAGGTGATCCAGGGGCTGTACAGCGGGGTCACCACGGTGGAGCTGGACACTCTGGCCGCAGAGACCGCGGCCACGCTGACCACCAAGCACCCCGACTACGCCATCCTGGCCGCCCGCATCGCCGTCTCCAACCTGCACAAGGAGACCAAGAAAGTCTTCAGTGGTGGGTTGTCGGAATCTGTGGGTATTGGTGATTCCCAGATTATAGAAAGTCTCTGTCTGTCAGCCCCGCTGCCAAAGCAGAAGTCATAATTGGTCTGTGCTGTTTCAAGGTTGTTTATTCTGTTTATCTCTAACATGTTCTGCTGCCCTGCCGCAGCTCTGTCCTGCAGGGCAGCGTGTGGGGCTCTGCCCTCAGTGGGATGGTACAAACATTAAATACCACAAACTACCTGTGCTGGATTTACAATAACGTGCCAATATCTGTCACCTACGTTGGACAGTGTGTCCCCAGCCTGAACCAACAGAAAAATGCCAACACCACAGTGAAACATGGAGGGCATGAAGAAGGAGAAAAAGGACAAGACACACCCAATTCCTCCATCTTGTCCCCTCTGAACCCCTAATCTAGAATCCTAAAATTTTACTTTTGCACCCGTGTCACACTTAATTATTGCTTATATCAAACACTCAGAGCTTGTAATTCATCCTGTAAGATTGAAAACTCTTTTCCATGGACAGAGATCACAGCCAGTGTCTCTGGGGGCTCTGTCCAGGGGGGTTCCTGACCCCTGCCAGGGTCCCAGAGCTGCCAGGGCAGCCAGAGGGAAGCCCTGGATTCCCACAGTGGGTGAACGTGGCTGCCGGGGGCAGAGACGGAGGGGGAGGTTTGGAGCACACAAACTGGGAGATTTTCGAGTGGGAGCTCCTGAGGGACCAGGCTGGCTGAAAATGCCGTGGAGAGGAAACCCAGCGGTTTCCCAAGGCAAACAGAATGGCCTCGTTTTTGAGAAGCAGTTGTACAAATGGAACGGTGAAAAATGTGATGGGTTGGGATTGGGTTGTACCCACTGTCCTCCCCATTGGTTACTTTTTACAGTGGGGCTTTGACAGAATTTGTGGGTTGTTCAGGTTGGCCGTGCTGAGCAGCAGAAGAGCAGTTGTGTGTTTGGGGTGTTGGAGAGGGTTATTTCCACGGACTCCATCCCTGAATCCCAGTGCCACGTGCTGCAGGGACAGGCATGGACATGTCCTGCTCACAGCCCTTTCCCTCACAGATGTGATGGAAGATCTCTACACCTACATCAACCCTCACAACGGGAAGCACTCCCCAATGATCTCCAAAGAGACTCTAGACATAGTTCTGGCCAACAAAGATGTAAGTAGTCGGGTTTTTTCCACTTCTGAACTATTGCACTGAAGTTTGAAAACTTAAATAACGTGCTTTTCTTATTTTTTAAGCAAGCCATGTTTGTTTTAGGGTAAAAAGCCAACACAGAAACCAGTGCAGGGCATGAGTGGCGAGTGTAAGAGGGGACGTAGGAGTTTTCTTCCTCTATGGATGTCGTATAGTAAAATTTGTTTTCTTGGATGTACCTGTTGCCATGATCAGCACAAGTAATTAATTTGAGAAAAAGTACCTAGTGCTGGAGCAAAGTGAGGCAGCACAGGAGGGACAGAAGTGGTTTGGGTTCAGTTTCCAGATCATTCCAGGTCTGTGTTCTGACCGGGAATTTCCTTTTGCCCTTTGGTCCTTTGTTTTGTTTCTTGTTGTCCAGTCAGATTTCAGTAAATTCAGCCAAAAACGGAGTGGAAAAAGGTTGTTGAAGCTGTGCTTTTGTTGTTTTGAGGGAATTGCTGTTCCTGCTTCATTCCTGTGCTAGGAATGCCAGCAGGTATAAATAACGTTGTTACAGCTTGTAAATTTTGTTGTTTCCTGCCAGCGCCTGAACTCCGCCATCATCTATGACAGAGACTTCTCCTACAACTACTTTGGCTTTAAGGTAAAGAGCACATTGCTCCTGGGTCTGTTGGGAAGCATGGGAATGCTTGTGGGATCATCTGGATTGGGGCACAGGAGGGGGTGGGACATCAGTGGGGCTGTGAAGACGAAGGGCACCTGCACAAAGCAGCTGCCCCGTGGGAGAAATCGTGGCGTTTTCTTGCTGCTGGAATATTCTAACTGTTGGGCTGGGATTCACAGCAGATCACACTGAGTGTTGTTGGATGCCACTCCTAAAGGAAATACTCTGATCCTCAGTAAGCCACAGAAGGGATTTTTGCTTTTCCCACCGTTGAGTGGAGCAGTTCTCTCAGTGTGTCATCCCACAGGTTTATCCTGCCCGTGCTGCTGATTGTCCCCACAGCACCCCAGGGTGCTGCCCTCACACCCAGCTCAGCTGGGCTGCTGTGCTCTGGGTCTGCAGAGAGGTCCTGTGGGCTCAGGACAGTGTGGAGCCTCCTGCCCATGCTCCACACTCTAATCCAAAGCAGTGTTGGAATCTTCCCGTGGACTTGTGTATCTTCATTAAGCTAATAAAGAGAGAAGCAGCAGAGTGCAGGGCTGGCAAAGCCTGGGATGAGGGGTGTGGAGATGACTGAGTTTGGAGTTGACAGGGTTTTTAAAAAAATTAAAGTCTGCCTGTCTGCTAAAATCCATCCTCTCTTTAAAGACTCTGGAACGCTCCTACTTGCTGAAAATCAACTCCAAAGGTAAGGGCTGTCCCTAGTGCTGAGCACTTCTTAAAAAATGTGAGTTAATTTAAATTAAATTAAAGCCAAGTTTAGGTGCTGTGCTGCCAGTGAGGCAGGCCCTTGGCTTGGCTGTCCTGGGACAACAGAAGGGTTAGAGATTAATTGCAAAATCAAAAAGCTGAAACATAATTGGATTCTGGACTGCACATTTGGTTGAATTTAACTGTTAATACAGTTTTCCCTGCTCTATGAAAGCAGCTGAGAATTGGAGCAGATTGTTCCTTGAGCTTTTCAAAGCCTGATGGGATGAAGTCCTGAATAAACAGGCCTGGTGCTCTCTGAGCAGGAGCTGTGCTGGAGAACTCAAGTTCCTTCCAGCCCCAATCTCTGTGATTCCATGAAAACTCTGGCTCCCAAGTGTCCCACTGCAGCATTTGGAGCTTGCTGTGACCTCTGTGACTGTCACATGGAGTCTTCTTCCTCCCTGCCTTTCTGGGTTTGCTTGGTGGGTGAGGGGCTGGGCCTGCCTTGGCATCCCAAAATCCCAGTGCCCTGGGCACATTGCAGTGTGGGCAGCAGGAAAAGGGGAATTGTGCCCCTGTGTCCCACAGGTGAGAGCCCTGAGACCTGCAGAGCTGCTCCAGCCCTGCCCCAGCCCAGGAGGAGCTGGAGCTGCTGCAGAGAGCCCAGAGGAGGCTCCAGGATGAGCAGAGGGATGGAGCAGCTCTGCTGGGAGGAAAGGCTGGCACAGCTGGGATTGTTCCCCTGCACAGGAGAAGCTTTGGGCTGAGCTCAGGGTGGCCTTGCAGGGCCTGGAGGAGCCCCAGGAAAGCTGGAGAGAGACAATTTCCAGGGCAGGGAGGGACAGCACACAGGGAATGGCTTTAAGCTGAAGGAAGGCAGGGCTGGGTGGGAGATTGGGAATCAGGAATTGTTCCCTGGCAGGGTGGGCAGGGCTGGGATGGAATTCCCAGAGCAGCTGTGGCTGCCCCTGGATCCCTGGCAGTGCCCAAGGCCAGGTTGGAGCAGCCTGGGACAGTGGGAGGTGTCCCTGCCATGGCAGGGGTGGCACTGGGTGGGATTTGGGGTCCCTCCCAAGGCAGCCCCTGGAACTGGCTGTCCCTGTGTCCCTGCAGTCGCTGAACGTCCCCAGCACATGCTGATGAGGGTGTCTGTGGGCATCCACAAGGCCGACATCGACGCTGCCATCGAGACCTACAACCTGCTCTCGGAGCGCTGGTTCACCCACGCCTCGCCCACGCTCTTCAACGCGGGCACCAACCGCCCCCAGCTCTCCAGGTGCTCCCCTCTCCTCACTGCAGCCTGCCCCCAGGGAGGGCCTCGGGCTCATCACAGCTGCTCAAGCCAGAGGCTTGCACAGCCTCTGAAACGAGCAGCTGAGTTCCTGCCTGTGTTTTATCAAGTTTTGAGAGGCTGCTGCCAAGTTTTAGCTGTCCTTGGGGAAAAATACCCAGGTTCCTGTCAACTCTAGAGATATTGGAAGCCTTTGCATGGCTGTATTGTATTGGAAAGTTCCTGATGTGCATAGTTTGCTGCAGGTTACTAAGTGAATCCTGGTAATTCTTTTCTAAAAGCAGCAAGCATAACTGATAGGCTTTTGATATCGTATATATCAGGAAAAGGATTATATTTTTATAAAGATTTGTATCAATGTGTTGTAGGGAAAAGGCTCTTTTCCAGGGGATGCTGACACTGCCCAGGGAATGGGCACGGCCCCGAGGCTGCCAGAGCTGCAGGAGCCTTTGGACAGGGATGCCCAGGGTGGGGTTATGCAGAACCATAAATTAGACTCTGATCCTTGTGGTTCCTTCCAGCTCAGGGTATTCCACGATTCTATGATTGAAAATGTTTGATAGCAGAGGTATCAGCAGTATAGGTATTGCTCATGGTGTTTTCTGGTTTGTCCTTTATTCCACACCTCTGGGATTGTGGAGCATGCTAAAGGTCCCCTGTTTGCCCTGGTTTTTGCAGCCTGGTGAAACATGACTTTTCCTTCCATCTTTGACCACTGAAACTGTTTCCTTCCTTCAGCTGCTTCCTGCTGTGCATGAAGGACGACAGCATCGAAGGCATCTACGACACCCTGAAGCAGTGTGCCCTCATCTCCAAGTCTGCCGGGGGCATCGGCCTTGCCGTGAGCTGCATCCGTGCCACGGGCAGCTACATCGCTGGGGTGAGTGCCTGTGCCAGCCTGGCTCACCCAGACAGGGACAGCACAGGGACAGTGCTGCTGCTCCCTGCAGAGGCCAAACCAGAGCTGCCTCTCACTCGCTTCTCACAGCACTGAGCCTCCCTCAGCAGCCCCTTGGCCTAAGGCAGGAAGGTTGGTTTTCCTCCCTGTTTTGGCTTCCTAATAGAAACCCTTCCAAACAGAGGATCTTATTCCAGTGTTTGGCCAGACAATTCCAATGTTTGTCTGTTAGCAGCCGAGGAATATGCCCAGAGACTTGTGCACTAGCCCCTTGCCTTTCTGTGTCTCTAATTGCCCCAGACCTTCCATGGATGTGTGTTTGGGTTTCTTGTCACAGTGTGTGTAAAACCTGCAAGCCTGTAGGTGACATAACGTAGGGCAAAGACGTTAGGAGGGACATTTTATTAACTCTGGGACACACAGCTGATAGGTAAATTTTTGTCAGAGAAGGTGTGGGGAAGGGACTAGAAATAATTGGTGGTGATCAGTGTAAGAGCTCTGCAGCCTGAGGTCAGCCCCTGCAGGGAGCTGCTTGTAATGATGGTTTTCCTGTGTCCCTGCAGACAAACGGGAATTCCAACGGGCTGGTTCCCATGCTGAGGGTCTACAACAACACTGCCCGCTACGTGGATCAAGGTGGAAACAAGGTACCTCACACCAGCTCCAGAAGGGAGCCTCGGGTCATGGAGAGCTTCCACACTGGCCAGGGCTGTCCCACGAACACCAGGGAGCTGATGGAGTGGTTGTGGGTGACACATCATCACAAAGGGCATTTCCCCCTGTGTTGGTATCTGGTGCTGCCCCCCAGTTCCTAGCTGGTTTGGGGAGTTGTGGGCGCTCAGGAGCAGGGCAGCAGGTTTCTTTGCAAGGACAGTTTGTTCTGATCTGGATTGTGTTCCGTGTCCCAGAGACCTGGGGCTTTTGCCATCTACCTGGAGCCGTGGCACTTGGACATCTTTGAGTTCCTGGACTTGAAGAAGAACACAGGGAAAGAAGAGCAGCGAGCCAGGGACCTGTTCTTTGCACTCTGGATCCCTGATCTCTTCATGAAGCGAGTGGAAACCAACCAGGTGAGAACTTGGCTGGCACAGAAAAGCTCTGCTAGTGGAGGAGCACGTGAGCAGCCCTGGAAGGAGCTCAGCAAGGGCTGCAAAGCTGCTTTGCTCCTTGCTCCTTCCAGGACCTTCCTGGAGGAGCTACTGCACCTTGTTTGAGAACTTTGGCTGTGCAGGTGGAGAATGGAGCTGGGCAGCTCCAGCTCTGTGTTTTGCTTCAGGGCTTAATCTTACAGCCCATGACTCGTTCTTGGACTGTTGGGCTATTTTGACTCTGGGGCTTCCTTAAGGCATCAACATTTTCTCAGTAAATTGTTCTTATGGCTGCTTGTATTTCACAGCATCTCAGACTGGTTTGGCTTGGGAGGGACCTTAAAACTCATGCAGTGCCACCCTCTGCTATGGGCAGGGACATCTTTCACTGTCCCAGATTGCTCCAAGCCCCATCCAGCCTGGCCTTGGACACTCACAGGGATGGGGTAGCCACAGCTTTAATTAAAAGTGCCTAAAGCTTTCCTCTGAATATTTTTCCCCTGCACAGGACTGGTCCTTAATGTGCCCAAATGAGTGTCCAGGCCTGGATGATGTCTGGGGAGAGGAATTTGAGAAGCTCTATGAGAGGTAAGAAGAGTGAGCAGGTCTGTAAGTGGTGCCATCCCCTGCCAGAGCTGCCCGTGTCCCGTGGGATCTGGGGCCGTGGCACAGGTTTGTGGGAGGGGGCTCCCTGTGCAGAGCTCAGCAGCAAGGAGGGCCTTGGCTGCCCCAGGCCCCGAGGAGCCCAGAGGCTCTCCCTGGTTTTTGGGGCTCGGGGCTGACGGGGCTGCGGGTGCGTTGCAGCTACGAGCGGCAGGGCCGCGTGCGCAGGGTGGTGAAGGCCCAGCAGCTCTGGTACGCCATCATCGAGTCCCAGACCGAGACTGGCACCCCCTACATGCTCTACAAGGACTCCTGCAACAGGAAGAGCAACCAGCAGAACCTGGGCACCATCAAGTGCAGCAACCTGTGCACCGAGATCGTGGAATACACCAGCAGGGAGGAGGTGAGTGCAGAGCGGGAGCTCGGAGTGCTGGGGAGGCTGGGAGAGCTCCTGTGGCACCTCTCTGGATAGGTTTCACTGTTGCTTGGGAAGGGGGCAGGTAGCTGAGAAACTCCTGACCTGAGGACTCACAGCCCTTCCACGGGCCGTGGTTCCCTTCCCACTCCTGTGGAGGGTTTGGGATGACACAAGATGTCCTTTGAAGGACAAGGAACAATATTGTAAATGCAGGTGACCCCGGTGGGAAAAGTTCAGAAGGCTGAAGGATTTTTTTATTATAACTATACTATAATACGTTAATATACTATTTAAAGGATATACTAAAACTGTATACCCAGTTTTAACTCACAACTCGTGACCCTCTCACTGGAGTCCAGCCACAGGTGGGTTGGATTTGCCATCAGGCTCAAACAATTCTCACCAGAATCCAACCAAGCAATCACCCCAGGGAAACAATTCTCTAAATACATTCTACATGAGAAAAACAAAAAGCAGAAATAGAAATTTTTTTGAAATGTTTTCTCTTTCTTCTGTGCTTCTCTATGAAAAAATCTTGAAAGAGAGAAGAATGTACCTACGACAGAACAAATCAGGCTTAAAATTCCTTCCAACCCAGACCCTTCTGGGATTTTGTGTAAGGTTGTTTTCCAGGCAGTGGGACTGACCAGGGAAGGATTTTTTCTGGTAATAGCAATTTCTACTGACCTTCCCTGAATTGTTGTGACCTTTTGCACAGCGTGTGACATGCCAGAGGACCAAGGGGTGCACTTTCCCTGGCTGGCAGGTTCCCTGGCGGGTTGTTCCGTGTTTGGGGCAGAGCTGTGCCATTCCCAGTGATGCCCTGTGTGTGCCCACAGGTGGCTGTGTGTAACCTGGCCTCCATCGCCCTGAACATGTACGTGACCCCCGAGCACTCCTACGACTTCAAGAAGCTGGCTGAGGTCACCAAGGTCATCGTCCGAAACCTCAACAAAATCATTGATATCAACTACTACCCTGTGCCAGAGGTGAGTGCTGGGCTGGGCCTGAATCCTGCCCAGCGCAGCCTGGGACACAAGGAATCACAGGGGAGCTCTGTGAACCGCCTGTTCCCAGGTGGGACCTGTCAGTGCCTGCCTGAGATCCAACCCCCAGCAGCTCCGTGGTGAAGCAGTTGTAGGAAAGCTTCCCACTCTGCTTCTGCCATTGGGATTTTTTCACGTGTGAGGATTTCCATGGAGCAGACCACCAGTAGGAACAGAGTGGGAAGTGGAACACAGAGAAGGATCCTGGAAAGATCCTGAGATAGTGTAGCTCATTTTGGTTGGTTTTACAACCCCCTGACAAGAGAGGGCAGCCAGGTGGGGGTCAGGCTCTGCTCCCAGAGGGCAAGGAAAAGGACACGAGGACATGGCCTCGACCCCTGGCAAGAGAGGTGTAAGTTGAACATTAGGAAAAAATTCTTAATGGAAAGGGCTGTCCATCTCTGGCACTGAATGCCCAGGGCAGTGGTGAAGTCCTCATCCCTGGAGGGGATTTAATATCCATGTGGATGTGGCACCTGGGGACATGGTCAGTGGTGGCCTTGGCTCTGCTGGGGAACAGTTGGACTTGGTGGGCTCAGAGGGATTTTCCAACCTCAGTGATTCTGCTCTATTAAATGTCTTCATGTATCAGAAGGTGCTGAGTGTTCTCTTTGAAATCCTGGCTCCCTTTGCTGGGTTAAACGACCAAGTGTGCTGAGGTCTGGCAAACTCTGTCGCTGTTGAGGCAGGGATGGGAATGAAGACACTCCATCTTCAGAAGGCAAAGAATGATCTTTATTCAAAAACACCTCTCTTTTACAGAGATCATTGTGAATATTAATCTCATTGGTCTTAAATAAAAACATTTCACCTGATTGGTGCACTGGACCTAGGTCAGTGTGGTAGAACATTTCTGTAAACAATATGAACAGAAAGAGAGATAATAATAGTTTACATTGCTCCTGGACTTTTTCCCAGGCTGAGCCTGGCAGAGATCTCTCTCTGAGCTGAGACTATCCCCCAGTGTGGGCTGCAGCAGGCAGTGTGAGGCTGGCAGGAGGCTGTGCAGAGCTGCTGGCACGCTGCAGCAGCAGCGGCTGTGCTGAGGTGTCCGGGCTGTGCTGAGGTGTCCGGGCTGTGCTGAGGTGTCCCTGCTGTGCTGAGGTTTCCCTGCTGTGCTGAGGTTTCCCTGCTGTGCTGAGGTGTCCCTGCTGTGCTGAGGTGTCCCTGCTGTGCTGTGGTGTGTGTCCCTGCTGTGCTGAGGTGTCCCTGCTGTGCTGAGGTGTCCCTGCTGTGCTGTGGTGTGTGTCCCTGCTGTGCTGAGGTGTCCCTGCTGTGCTGAGGTGTCCCTGCTGTGCTGTGGTGTGTGTCCCTGCTGTGCTGAGGTGTCCCAGCTGTGCTGAGGTTTCCCTGCTGTGCTGAGGTGTCCCTGCTGTGCTAGGTGTCCCTGCTGTCCCGCAGGCCGAGCGCTCCAACCGGCGGCACCGGCCCATCGGCATCGGCGTGCAGGGCCTGGCCGACGCCTTCATCCTCATGAGGTTCCCGTTCGAGAGCGCCGAGGCGCAGCGCCTCAACCAGCACATCTTCGAGACCATCTACTACGGGGCCCTGGAGGCCAGCTGCGAGCTGGCCCGGGAGCACGGCCCCTACGACACCTACCAGGGCTCGCCCGTCAGCAAGGGGGTGAGTGCGTGCCAGGGTGGGACAGGGAAGGCTCTGGGCTGCTGCAGAGACCTGCAGGGAGCTGGTTCTGGCAAGTGGGATGTGAGGCAGCAGTGCCCTGCAGCCAGGAGGGACATCCCTGTCCTGGGGGCCACCATCACTGCCCGGAGGGAAGGGATTGTCCCACTCTGCTCTGGGCTGGGACAGCCTCACCCCCAGTGCTGGGGACAGTTCTGGCTGCCTCAATAAAAGGTCAGAAGCTGTTGGAAAGTGTCCAGAGGAGGGACACGAGGTGGGGAAGGTCCAGGGAACCCCCCGAGGTCCCTGGGGCAGCTCAGCCTGGAGCAGCCTGAGGTCAGAGCTCCCCGGGGCTGCAGCTCCTCCCGAGGGGCAGCGCAGGGACAGCTCCGAGCTCTGCTCTGGGCCAGGGACAGCACCAGGGAGCGCCTGGGGCTGGGCCAGGGCAGCTCAGGCTGGAATCAGGGAAAGGCTCTTCCCCAGAGGTGCTGGCACTGCCCAGGGAATGGGCACGGCCCCGAGGCTGCCAGAGCTGCAGGAGCCTTTGGCCAGCGCTGCCAGGGATGCCCAGGCTGGGATTTTGGGGGTCTGGGCAGGGCAGGGCTGGCACTGGGGGTCCCTGGGGGTCCCTACAGCTCAGGGTATTCTGGGATTCTGTGATTTGAAATGACAATCAGACTCTGGCTGTGTTGGCTGTGTCCTGGAGCAGTCACAAGATGGAGTGTTTGTTGGGTCATACCAGAGCTTCACTGAGATCTAATGGGAGGGACGAATTAAGAGGAATAACAGGTCCATTTCCAATGGGGTTTATAAAACATGGAGAAAAGAGTGCCCTCTCTAACTGGGACCAAACTGTGTTCCTCAGATCCTTCAGTATGACATGTGGAATGTCACCCCGTCTGACCTTTGGGACTGGAAGGCTTTGAAGGAGAAGATTGCCAAGTGAGTAACCCTGCATGGTTTGTAGTAGATGTCAGATAAAATTCAGACTCGATTGGGTGGGAAGGACCTCAAAGCTCATCCAGGGCCACCTCTGCCATGGCAGGGACACCTTCCATGTCCCAGGCTGCTCCAAGCCCCATCCAGCCTGGCTTTGGATATGAATTTGATATGATCTGTCTACTGAGAACTAAAGGCAGGGTCCAAGTGTGAAAACGTGTGCTCCCCCCACCCCAGCAGCTCTTTCCTGTGAGCTGGTTTTTGGGTGGCTTTTTTTTCGTTCTTGTTCTTCCAAGGCCGAGGCTGCCAGGGAAAAGCTGAGCCTTGAACATCCTCAAGACAGGAATCACTGAAGTGTGAAGTGCCTGCCATGGACTAATTCTGTCTGTTTGGCTCTAATTTTTAAATGTAAATCTGCTCCCTGTCCTGTGTGTGGTGAGGTTTCAGCCTCTTCATGGGCTGCTGGTTCAGTTCTGCCTCAGGGCTGTGGCTCGTGCAGTGCCTGGCAGATTGTCTTCCCTGCACCCCATCCATGACTGACTCACTTGGGAAAGCCTCTGATGGGGGGTGAGAGCAGCAAAACCCCTAATTCCACTTGATTTGCCCCACAGTGCCACTTGAGTGGTGCTTCCCTTTTCCCTGTGGGCGATGTCAGGCGTTGCAGGCTATCCCAGATTTCCCAGTCCGTGCTGTTCCTGCTCTCTCCCGTCCTGTGTCCCTAACTTTGCCTGCTGTCCCCAGGTACGGTGTGAGGAACAGCCTCCTCATCTCCCCCATGCCAACGGCCTCCACTGCCCAGATCCTGGGCAACAACGAGTCCATCGAGCCCTACACCAGCAACATCTACACCCGCAGGGTGCTCTCGGGGGAGTTCCAGGTGAGCTCTGGGCACTGCTGAGTTTTTATGGCTGAAGGCAAGGGGAGGCCTCACACCTGGGGGCTCAGTTCAGCTGGATGCTTGTGTCCAAGCACCAAGAGGATCTGGAGCACTGGTGCTGCAGGAGTCCAGCTCTGTGTGTTCCACAGTCACCACGGAATAGGTGAGGTTATAAACAAGTGCTAGGAAAAGCCTTTGTGGGGGCTCAAGGTGGGCTGCAGGAATAACTGCTGAGGGGTGGTGATGTCATGGAAGGGACGTGGGGAGAGTAGCTGAAACCAGGTCCTGAGAGTGAGCTGTGAAGCACTGAAGGGGCCATGGAAGAGCTCCAGAGGCTCAGAGGGGTCTCTCAGTCAGGAAAGGGAGTGAAACAAGCTGAGTTCTGGAGGCTGGAGTTAGCAAAGCCCCCTGTGGAGACAAGGGGAGGCTGTCCCTGTTTGGGAGGTGTGTCCATCCCCTCTGGGGTGTCTCAGTGCTCTCCATTCCTCCTGGCTGTAGGATCAGACAGGAGAGGGGAGCTGGATCAGGAGGAGGATCATTGCGCTGCCTCCCTGTGTAGGGCAGGGGGACAGGGACCCCAGTCCCAGCAGGAAAAGGTGGCTGTGTTTTCTTCCCAATACTCAGCCTGCCCTTGTTCTGTTCTTTCCCCTGCTGACATCAGTCTTGATTGTTCACACCCTTCTTCAGGAACTCAGGCTGTGGCTAGTGGCCCTGCAACAGCAAGATCCCTCCTTTTCCCATCTTTTGGAGTTCCTCATGCAGGGCAGTTCCATACAGCCCCCTGCAGATTTGCCATGTCCAGCAGAATCCCAGAATAGTTTGGAGGGACCTTAGAGATCTTGTAGTTCCAGCCCCTGCCATGGCAGGACACCTTCCAGTACCCAGGCTGCTCCAAGCTGTCCAGCCTGGCCTGGAACACTTCCAGGGGGGAGGGAATGGGCAGGAACTTGTTCAGCCATTTAAGAACCTTTGGCTTCTGTCCCTCCCAGGTTGTGAATCCCCACTTGCTGAAGGATCTGACGGAGAGGGGCCTGTGGAACGAGGAGATGAAGAACCAGATCATCGCCCACAATGGCTCCATCCAGGTACAGGGCCAGCAGGCCTTCTGGATTCCCACTTGGCAGGAAGATGATACAGGGGTGGTTTCACAGCAGGGAATACCGTGGAATGTCCTGAGCTGGAGGGACCCCCAGGGATCCCCAGTGCCAGACCCCACCAGCCCCACCCTGGGCATCCCTGGCAGCGCTGGCCAAAGGCTCCTGCAGCTCTGGCAGCCTCGGGGCCGTGCCCGTTCCCTGGGCAGTGCCAGCACCTCTGGGGAAGAGCCTTTCCCTGATTCCAGCCTGTCCCATGTAACTGCTGAGGGGGAGCTGAGGGTGTCTGCAGGTGTGCTTGGTGCTGGCAGACACAGGATGTCCAGAGGAGGCCACCCAGTTATCAGAGGGATGGAGCACCTCTCCTGCAAGGAAAGGAGAGAGAATTGGGATTGTTCAGCCTGGAGAAGGCTCCAGGGATGACCTAAGTGCAGCCTTCCAGGACCTAAAGGAGCCAACAGGAAACATGGAGAGAGACAGTTTACAAGGGCTGGAAGGACAGGACACAGGGAATGGCTCTCACTGCCAGAGGGCAGGGCTGGGTGGGAGATTGGGAATTGGGAATTGTTCCCTGGCAGGGTGGGCAGGGCTGGGATGGAATTCCCAGATTCCCCTGGATCCCTGGCAGTGCCCAAGGCCGGGCTGGAGCAGCCTGGGACAGTGGGAGGTGTCCCTGCCATGGCAGGGGTGGCACTGGGTGGGTTTAAGCTCCCTCCCAACCCAAACCCTTCTGGGATTCTGTGTTTGAACTGAGGGACAGAGCTCAGCTGTACAGGCCTCAGTTCCAGTCAGGATTGCTGGAGCCCCAGCGATCACTGAAGAATTCCATGATGTAAATAGGGATATCTGGGCAGTCAGTGCTTTCCAGCCTGGAAAACTCCTCCTGTTCTTCCAGAACATCCCTGAGATTCCCGATGACCTGAAGCAGCTCTACAAGACTGTGTGGGAGATCTCCCAAAAAACCATCCTGAAGATGGCTGCAGACAGGGGGGCCTTCATCGACCAGAGCCAGTCCCTGAACATCCACATCGCCGAGCCCAACTACGGGAAGCTCACCAGCATGCACTTCTATGGCTGGAAACAGGTACAGCTGGGCTCCTTCCCCAAAACAGGGCAGCAGCTGGGGTTATTGGGGCTTCTTCCCCAAAATGGGGCAGCAGCTGGGGTTATTGGGGCTCCTTCCCCAAAATGGGGCAGCAGCTGGGGTTCCTGGGGCTCCTTCCCCAAAATGGGGCAGCAGCTGGGGTTCCTGGGGCTCCTTCCCCAAAATGGGGCAGCAGCTGGGGTTCCTGGGGCTCCTTCCCCAAAATGGGGCAGCAGCTGGGGTTATTGGGGCTCCTTCCCCAAAATGGGGCAGCAGCTGGGGCTGAGGCGTTGTTCCCAAAAATGGGGGCATTACCTTGGATTGGGGGCTTGTTCCCAACAAATAGGGGCAGTACCTGGGACTGAGGGGCTTGTTCCCAAAAAACGTGCTGTACCTGGGACTGGGGGGCTTGTTCCCAAAAAACAAGTGCTGTACCTGGGACTGAGGGGCTTGTTCCCAAAAAGCAAGTGCTGTACCTTGGGCTGTTCCCAACAAATGGGGCCTGGTAAGTTTGGCACTGATAAATTCTGGCACAGCAAGTTGGTCTCAGCGATCCCGGGAAGGGCAAACGGCTGTTTCCTTCCAAGAACCCTGCTTTCCCCTGGAGCATCCCCGGAGCTGGGGGTGCCCGAGCTGGGGTGCCCGCCGTGCTGCTGCCAGCGCTGAGGTCCCCCGTGTCCCCAGGGCCTGAAGACTGGCATGTACTACCTGCGGACAAAGCCGGCTGCCAACCCCATCCAGTTCACCCTCAACAAGGAGAAGCTGCGGGAGCGGGAGAAGGCGTCCAGGGAGGAGGAGGAGAAGGAGAGGAACAAGGCAGCCATGGTGTGCTCCCTGGAGAACAGGGAGGAGTGCCTGATGTGTGGCTCCTAAGGGATTGCCCACGGCTCCTGGCTGGAGCTGCAGGGACAGGAGCATCTGGAGGAATGTCAGGATGCTGGGGGCTGGGGCTGGGAGGGGGTGGTGTAGCTTCCCCATCCACAGGGATGGGCTGATTCTGCTTTAGTAGCTGGGCTTTCCAGGGGTTTCAGCACTGGCGTGGCCTTCCACAGCACCCTGCAGGCGGGACTGGGCACAGGGAGGTGCTGGTGGCACTCACAGCTCTGTCCTGGGCACTCCAGGCCGTGCCTTGCAGTCACCAGAGACTGCTCCTCTTGTGCCAGGGAGCAGCACAGGCTGGGCCCTTTTCCCTGCTGGGAATGCCCCGGGTAGGGGTGGTCAGTGTCTGCCAGTGTCCTGCTGACACACCTGCAGCGTCCCCACCCTGCCAGAGCCTCCTCGTCCCACTGCTGCTCCCTCTCCTCTGGCCTTTCCAGAACGCCTTTGGAAGGAGCAGATGGGTGGCAGGGGTGTTGCTTCCTGTGCTCTTCTCCCTCAGCTGGCCAGGACAGCCTGGCACGGGCTGGTGTCCTCCAGTGGGGACAGAAAGGCAGAGCTGCTGCCCTGCATTTTGTTCTGCATTAAATTCACTGATTTGATCTAATTGCTCAGGCAGTTTCCTGCCAGGGGTGCCAGTGCTGTCCTTGGCCACAGGTCAGGTGCCATTTTGTGAGGGCCACATGCCATTGGTGAAGATCACCTGCCACCTCTTTTCAGGGAGATCCACTTCTCCACCCCAGGTAGTTCTTAGATTTTCTAAACCTCTTATCTATTTACTGCTCCTGTACTCACTCCCTGCTCGAACTCAGTGGGGTTTCAGGCAGTCCTGCAGTATTTATTGAACTCGTGAACCACACCCCACCCCGAGAACTCAATAAAAGGAATGTGGAAGGAACGGGCGGGGCTGTTGGAACGCTCCTTTGGTGATGGACAGTGGGCAGCGGTGCTGGCAGGTGTGTGCTGCTTCCCACGGGGACACAGACACTGTCCCTCTGCACAGCTCCGGGCAGGAGGGACAGCCGGAGCTCCCTGCTGGCAGGGACAGGGACAGGGACAGGAGAGGGAACGGCCTCGGGCTGGGCCCGGTTCTGGCCCGACTCACAAACCCTGGTCCGGTTCTGTCCCAGCACTCGAACCCCGGTTCTGCCCCGGTTCTGTCCCAGCACTCGAACCCCGGTTCTGGCCCGGTTCTGTCCCATCGAGTCCCGGTGCCGGTGCGGCTCCTGCAGTTCCGCGCGGTGCCGCCGGGGGGCGCTGGTGTCGCGGGCGCTGCGGGAGCGGCGCCGTTGGGACCCCGACCCCCCCGCGGGTGTCCCGAATGTCCCCAAATGTCCCCGAATGTCCCCGAACCTCCCCGAGTGTCCCCAAATGTCCCCGACCCTCCCCGAATGTCCCCGAATGTCCCCAAACCCCCCTGACCTCCCCACACCGAGCCCAGCCCTTCCCGAGCAGGGCTGGCTGTGGGCATCGGGCACATCGCGGTTTCACAGTGCCACCTCCAGGGGACACCTGCAGGGATGGGCACTCCAAAGCTCCCTGGGCAGCCCCTTCCAGGGCTGAGCCCCCTTTCCATGGGGAAATTGCTGCTGCTGTCCCAGCTGAGCCTGCCCTGGCCCAGCCTGAGGCCGTTCCCTCTCCTCCTGTCCCTGTTCCCTGGAGCAGAGCCCGACCCCCCGGCTGTCCCCTCCTGGCAGGAGCTGTGCAGAGCCACAAGGTCCCCCCTGAGCCTCCTTTTCTCCAGGCTCAGCCCCTTCCCAGCTCCCTCAGGAACTCTCCAGCCCCTTCCCAGCTCCCTCAGGAACTCTCCAGCCCCTTCCCAGCTCCCTCAGGGATTCCTCAGCCCCTTCCCAGCTCCCTCAGGAACTCTCCAGCCCCTTCCCAGCTCCCTCAGGGACTCTCCAGCCCCTTCCCAGCTCCCTCAGGAACTCTCCAGCCCCTTCCCAGCTCCCTCAGGAACTCTCCAGCCCCTTCCCAGCTCCCTCAGGAACTCTCCAGCCCCTTCCCAGCTCCCTCAGGGATTCTCCAGCCCCTTCCCAGCTCCCTGCCCTGGACCCTCCCAGCACACAGGAACTGTCCTGCTGCTCGCAGCCACTCCCATAACTGATAGTTGCCACGAAGCCCCACAATGATCCCAAATGCTGCCCTGAAAAATGAACATTTGGAGGGGAGCCAGGCTCTGAACTCTGATGTTTATGATCAGGCCACGCAGGCGATGCTTCCTTTCACCAAGGGGGGACAATGAGAAGCAAATGACAAAAGCATTTGATTTTATGTGTGTGGTCTTCATCAAATTAGCAAAAAAAAAAAAAAAAAAGCTGGGCGGGCAGGGGGGAGTTTGCAGGAGCATTGAAGAAATGGATTTTTAAAGGGCCTTGAAAGGGGCTCGGTGAATGGGGGAGCGCCTGACGGGTTTGCAGCCCGGGCAGGGCAGTGAGGAGCAGCTGTTTGAGCTTTGGGAAGCGGCCCTGAACTCGGGGATCCCTGCAGAGGCTCCTGAGTGTACAAACAGGATCTGTGTGGGAGCCCCAGAGGGGAACTGTCCCCACACGCGGCTGTTCCCGTGTGGGGCTCTGGCAGCACCCGCCCCTGCTGCTCGGGTTTGGGATTTTTCCTTTCTTTTCCATGGAAAATAGTGGGATTGGCACGTGTGATAATTCCAATTTGCTCAGTGCTGTTTGCACGGATCTCTCTGAAGTTTTCTGCACAAGTGAAGAAGGTAAACACTGATGGATAACTCAGAAAAAAAGATGCTACAGGTGCTCTCTGCACAAGGTCCTGCACAGCATTTTCCTCTCAATGACCTCCACACATCCTAGGGCTTCTCTTTGTCAAAATTAAACCCAATTAGTTCCCTTATTCCACATGCAGAAAATGTCTAATGAACGTGGGAGTGGCTCAGGTGCTGTAAACACAAATGAAAGGTCAGGGCAGAGCTGCTGGTTGTGAAATCCTCGTTTAAAAGGAGTGATGTTCCCACTGATCTTTTCCTGGTCCTTCTGGAGATCAAATTCCCAAACCAGCAGCCACTCAGACCTCCCAATGGTGCAGGTGAAGTGTCAGCCCCACCACTGACTAAATAAAAATAAAATCAAACCAAATGATTTCTTCCAGGGGCTCCAGCCAAAACATCTTGAGCAGCTCTCCAGAAAAAAAAGATGGCAGAGGAGAGGAGGATTTTTCCAGATTCAAAGCACATGGAATATTTCACTGTTATCCCCTTTTGTCATCTCATTAGGGGAACCAAAGGCTTCCCCTTTCCCAGTCTCCATTTGCATTTATAATAACGCGTTGCCATGGCGAAATCTGATCATCCCGGACTTGGTGGGTGGAATCCCGTCCTTAAGGAGTGCCAGGAGGGAGAGAAGCCCCCCAGGCTGGGGGCTCGGGGCTGCTGCGGGGCTGTGGGGCTGCGGGAGCGTGTCCGGGTGGGGCTGGGCTGGGCTGGGCTGGGCTGGGCTGGGCTGGGATGGGCTGGGCAGGTTGGATGTGTCCCGGGAATCAGGAGGAGCTGGAATCTCCTCCCCAGGGCAGGGCAGGGCAGGCTGGATGTGTCCCGGGGCATCAGGAGAGGCTGGATTGTCCCGGGGAATCAGGAGGAGCTGGAATCTCCTCCCCAGGGCAGGCTGGATGTGTCCCGGGGCATCAAGACAGGCTGGATGTGTCCCAGGGAATCAGGAGAGGCTGCTGGGGATTTCTCAGGTGGGACCAACAGCAGCAGCTCGTTCCCTTCCTTCTGCTGGGGAAGGTGAGCAGGATCCCTCCCCAGCCAGCCCGGCAGGGATCAGCCCCAGGGAACCCCGAGGGTCCCCCCAAATCTCTCTGTTCCCCCTCCTTCCTCCCCAGGGTGTCAAACCCAGCGCTCAGGGACTGTCCCCTCCTCACTCCAGCACAGGACAGATTGTCCCTGGGTCCCTGGAATGTCCCAGGCCGGGCTGGGCACTGGGGCTGGAGCAGCCTGGGGCAGTGGGAGGTGTCCCTGCCATGGCAGGGGTGGCACTGGGTGGGATTTGGGGTCCCTCTTACCCAAACCTTTCCCTGTTTATGTGATTTCACTGAAAATTACAAACCACCCCCAAGAATGCAGTGTCAGTATGGATAATTTGAAGGCTGGTGATAAAGCCGGGCAGGAGCCTCATCTCTTCTTTGTCATCCATCCTTGGCTGTGCTGGGCCTTAGGGCCTGTCCAGCGCCTGCAGAGGAGATCTGGGAACCCCCTGTGACTGCAGCTGCCTCTGAGGGGTGGCCCCAAATCCCAAACATTCCCGGGGGGAGCTCTGGGCTCTCTCTGGACACTCAGCTGGGACAGCAGCAGCAATTTCCCCATGGAAAGGGGGCTCAGGCCCTGGCAGGGGCTGCCCAGGGAGCTTTGGAGTGCCCATCCCTGCAGGTGTCCCCTGGAGGTGGCACTGAGTGCTCTGGGCTGGGGACAAGGTGGGCATGGGGCCCAGCTGGGACTCCCTGGGCTGGGAGGGCTTTTCCAGCCCCAGGATTTGGGATTTGGGATCTGTGCTGACTGCAGGACACTGTGACTGTCCCACCAGAGCAGTCCCGGCCCCTCCAAGAGCCTTTCCCACCCTCTCCGCTCCCGGAGCCACGAGCCCGTGCCGGTGGCCACCCCACACATCCCCTCCCATCTCCAAATCGCCCCAGGCCAAAATCCACCTTTTCCTTGGACAAGTGTGCAAAGTCTCGCTCCTGCTTGGATGGGGAGATCGGGAATCGCAGCACGGAGAAAAAGGAAAGGGAAAGGCAAAGTTTTACCTTCGGTCCAGGGGAAAAATCATCTCCCCTGTCTCTTTTTCCAGGGGCTGGGAGGGGGAAAAAGGTCTTTTGGAAGCTTTTTCATCGGAGAGTGAGTCGGCAATTAAAGCTGACTCTGCTTACTCATTAGATCACATTAAAAACCGCAGCAAAAGTGGAGGGGGAACTCTCCAAACAAATTTGGGCCACTCTCCCCTCATTCACCGCCAGTCAGGAGCCGTCAATGCGCTCCATTTGTGCTCTAACTGCTTCTGAAGCACAACCATATGGTTGCGTTAAAACATCTTTTTCGTGCTTAATTTGAGGCACTGATGGCCCCTAATCAGCCGTGTGCGGATGAGCCCCCTAATTGATGGCTAATGAGTCACGTGCATCCCGAATTAATCCCGTTAATCACCGGCGGTGGTTGGCGCTTCCAACGGCCGCGTCCCGGCGCTGCAGGTGGAGGGGCTGCGATGGGGCTGGCCCTGTCCCTATTCCTGTCCCTATTCCTGCCCCTGTCCCGTTCCTGCCCCTGCCCCTGTCCCGTTCCTGCCCCTGCCCCTGTCCCGTTCCTGTCCCTGTCCCGTTCCTGCCCCTGTTCCTATTCCTGTCCCTGTCCCGTTCCTGCTCCTGCCCCTGTCCCGTTCCTGTCCCTGTCCCCATTCCTGCCCCTGTCCCTGTCCCCGTCCCGTTCCTGCCCCTGTTCCTATTCCTGCTCCTGTCCCGTTCCTGTCTCTGTTCCTACTCCTGCTCCTGTCCCTGTCCCGTTCCTGTCCCCATTCCTGCTCCTGTCCCTGTCCCGTTCCTGCCCCTGCTCCTATTCCTGCTCCTGTTCCTTTCCCTGTTCCAGTTCCTGCTCCTATTCCTGCTCCTGTTCCCATTCCTGTCCCTGCCCCTGTTCCCATTCCTGCCCCTGTCCCTGTCCCTGCCCCTGTTCCTATTCCTGCCCCTGTCCCTGTCCCGTTCCTGCCCCTGTTCCCGTTCCCACTCCTCTCCCGCTCCTGTCCCGTTTTTCCCGGGCAGGGGAGGCTCACCCAGCCTTTGGGACGGGGCTGTGGCTGTGCTGGTACAGAGAGATCCGCGTCCCCCGGGGTCAGCTCGGCACTGTGACCCCCATCCCTGCTTATGGGGGAACGCTGTGGGTTGGGAGGG